CATTCCACAAATCAAACACCATATAAATTTAACAAACAAAATTACAAAATATAATTTAATTAAAACAATACAATTTACCTACGCACTTAATTAAATAAAACAAATCACAACTATCAAGCACCTAATTAAATAAAACAAATCATTTAATAATAATAATAATAATAATATAATATAAATTAATTTAATTAATAAATCCTTTTTAAAATATCGGGGTATTACAATTCCACACAAACTTAATCCCTTTCCAGGTCAAACGGGTCATAGGCGCTGCCAAACGGGAGAAATCCTTCACAAATCTCCGATAATAACCCGCCAGGCCAAGGAAACTTCAGATCTCAAACATATTCTTGGGTTGCTCCCAATTCAAAACAGCTTCAATCTTTGATGGATCAACTGACACTCCGCCTTCTGAAACAACATGCCCCAAAAATTTCACCTCCTGTAGCCAAAACTCACATTTCTCATATTTGGCATACAATCGGTGCTCCCACAAAATCTGTAATACAGTACTCAAATGGACCTCGTGCTCCTCCCGAGATCGTGAATACACAAGAATGTCATCCACCAAAATTACCACAAACTGGTACAAGTAATCGTGAAAGACGTGGTTCATTAAGTCCATGAATGCTGCTGACGCATTAGTCAAGCCAAAAGGCATAACAAGGAACTTATAGTGTCGATACCGTGTACGGAATACTGTCTTCGGGATATCCTCATTCCTAACCCGTAACTGATAATAACCAAACCTCAAGTCAATCTTCGAGAAACAACTGGCTCCCCTCAACTAATCAAATAAATCATCTATCCTTGGCAAAAGATACTTATTCTTGATGGTGGCACAATTCAACTTTCGATAATCAATGCACAACCTCAAAGAACCATCTTTCTTCTTAGCAAACAAGACCGGTGCGCCCCATGGTGATACACTCAGTCGGATGAAACCTTTCATCCTCAAATCATCAAGCTGCCTTTTTAATTCTTCCAATTCAACTGGTGCCATATGATACGGTGCCATAGAAATCGGCGCGGTACCTGGCATTAACTCAATAGAGAACTCCACTTCTCAGCGTGGAGGCAACTCTGTCAAATCCTCCGGAAACACGTCCAGAAAATCACGAACAACTGCAAGATAATCTTCTTCCACAACATCATCCTCTTCGGCTATAAGGCTAGCCAAAAAGTAATCACCATGACTCCGTCCACGAATTCCATAAAACGATGAAATGTGAAAATCACTCCAATCTCCCACGAAAAAGAAACAGTCTCCCTCTGAAGTACAAACTATAACCTTTTCTATGTAACAGTCCATCATGGCATGAAAGGAAACTAATTAATCCATCCCGAGAATGACATCAAAGCTAGTCATCTCCAAGAGAATAAGGTCAAACACAAAAGTCCGCCCGGCTATCACAATGGAACAGTCCCTCACGACTCGGCTCAAAGACAATGAAACTCCAACTGGCGTATCAACACACAACGCCCGATCCATAAAACTGACCTCTAACCCCGATGCAAGTGCAAATGATGATGAAATGAAAGAATGAGATGCACCAGAATCAAACAAAACATGGGCCCAAGAACCAAACACTGGAAATATACCTCGGAAAACTGAAGATCCAGGGATGCATCAGTCGGTGCAAGGGCAAAGACATGCCCCTGCGGTGCCTGTGCCTGTGAACTACTAATTTGAACACCAGACTGTTGTGCCGACACAGTAGGAGTATCCCTCTTAGTTGGTCGCGAACCCTGAGAAGACAAGGCAGGCTGTGGTGGTGGCGGTGGTCTGAAACCTGATTGAACCGTAGCCGACTGTGACGGCCTCTGCCGTGACCCTCTGCCACTAGTGGTGCCTGCTCCCTGACTCAGACAATCCCGAATCAAATGGCCCTGCTGGCCACACCCATAACAAGCCTTCGGAGCTGAAGAAACTGAAGTCAATCTCATGGGACAATTGGACTTGTAATGTCCAGGTTGCTGGCACTGAAAGCAAACAACTGCACTCCTATCAGACCCAGCTGGCAACGGAGTGGTAGGAGCAGATCGTGCAGACTGCTGCCCCTGAAACTGAAATGAACCACTCTTATTCCTCTTTCAAGAAGATCCCTCTAAAGATGGCCCTGTACCCCTCTTTTGCTTCAACTACTCTCTTCTTGCATCCTTCTCTTTATTATCAGCCCCCAGCATCAAAGCCCTTTCCACTGCTTCAAAATAAACCTTAATGAACTGTGTCGTGATCAACAGCCTTATCCGATCATTAAGACCAGAAACAAACTTCCGAGTCTTGTTAACTTCATCTCTCACGATTTCTAGAGCAAAGCGAGAAAGTGAAGTGAACTTGTTCTCATATTCCGCCACTGACATGCTCCCTTGAATAAGGTTATGAAACTGGTCTTGTAACTCCCATCTTTTGGAAAGCGGAAAGTACTTTTCATAAAACAATTTCTTAAACTTGTCCCAACTCATCTCCTCCACCTTATACCCAGCTCGTAACCGACTTCCACCATAGTTTGGCATCATTAGCAAACTTATAAGTAGCTAGGATGATCTTCAAATGATCCTCCGTCACATCCATAAAAGTCAATTGAGTTTCAACTTGCTCCATGTAGTCATCTGCTATCATTGGATCCGCACCGCCCTCAAACATAACCAGCATCAGCTGAGAAAACCCCTTAATAATCTTGAGACGCTTCTGAGCTGGCGTCTCCTCAACTTGAACTGTAGGTTGTGGTGCTGACCGCGACTGAGCAGCAATCGTTGCCTTCACGGCATTTTACAATAAACGATTCAACTCCAATGCCACAGAACCTCCACACCCAACCCTATATTTGATAATACCCCTAGTCATTTCTGTAAAGACCATAGCTGATGCCAAAATTTAAAAAAAAAAAATTTGGCATAACCTCCCCTAAAAATGGTCCTTCAACAACCTGTCCCAATACACAAAACACATAATATACTCCAGCATCCCATTCATCCGTTCATTATACCTCAACATAGTTCCTCTCATGGTGGAATATCCACACACCAATTAATCTAAATCATCATAATTATAGTCCCAAAATACATGGTTAAGATTTAAAGTCCCTGTCTTACAACGTTACATGATACAATTGTATGGAAATATATACCATAATTCCATTAGTTTCATTTACATCAAACAAAAGATAAGTTCGTTCTTAAGTTACAAGGCCATGAACACTAGCTTAGTTACATTTTCACAACTATGAATATATATAGAATGGTCAAAATAAAAAATAGCAAACAACCTTCTAACAACTTTTGAGCTTGAGGTGGATTGCCGTCCACCGGTTCATTTCCAAGACCTAAAAATATATATATATAAATAGTAGGGTGAGTATAAAGCTCAGCAGGTGACACTTAAGACACACATCTTGTGTCCTTGTGAATCCAAACAAAGCATAGGTCAATGGGAAATAGGGATCATACAACGTAAGGGAAGGATACAGCATGGTTACCAATCTCAACACAAATGACAAGATGCAATGGAGATGCAAATGCATGCCGATGTCGCTTCCCATTTTCAAATTCAAGATCATCACTTTCAAACTGTTAATACAACCCGCCCTTTGGTAGCCCCGCCGCGATACGAGAGGAGGATTGGCTAGTGTCCCTGACCCTTGGTAACCCCACGGCGTCATTATGGGGCCCAGCTAGCTCAACCACACTAGGGCGACTCCCTAGTCCCCTCTAGGCTATATTAACCTCTGGCTCATTGGTAACCCCGCAGCAACCGGGTTTCACATAAAACCATTTCATCAAAAACACTTCCCTGAAATTCCCCATATTTATTTCAAGAACAATTTCTCCCATTTCATGCAAACTCAATGATATGTGCATGTATATATGTTCCATACATTCAATGTCATGGCATTTAAGATTCTACACCACAAAATTAAACATTCAACATGTTCAACATCTCCTAAGTAATTATTAACATAGTAAGATACAACAAAATACATTTAAGCGTGCTTTACACATAAAACAACTCACATTCATACACATGAATTTCTCTAGACAACATTTAAAATAATCATTGATACAATTAACTTCTAATTAAGCATGATTGGCACAACAAAGGAGTATAATTCACAATGGAACAAGAAGGTAGTGGATTAAGGTGTCCCTACCTCAAATTTGCACAAAACCCTTAAAATGGGTCTTGAATTTCGAACTCCAAGGAGGGCACTAAATCTAGAATTGTTCATATGGATGCGTAGAGCTCGTCGTGGGCTTCGTTTTGCCTCAAATGGCACCTTAATCCGATAAGAGATGAGAGAGAAATTAAGCTTTAAAGCTTTGAAGAACAAAAAAAATAAAAGAAAGAGAGCTACTGGACGAGAGAGAGTGTGATACGCAGAGAGGAAGAGATAAGTCATTATATTGGCTTATCATTCATGTGGGCCTCACGGGTGAATAAAATTTTATTTAACTTTAACATATATATATATATATATATATATATATATAAAGTCAAAAACATTACAATTTCCCTTTGTCTCAGTAAGCTCCTCCAAAATCCAGAACTGAGTGAAGAAAGTTTAACAGTCCAGAAACTTTTGTCCTTGATTTATCTTAGTATAACATAGAATACATAAAAGAAACAAACTATTATTAGTCATCGCTGGAAGTGCAACTAAATAGAAGTTGATAAATGCATGCATAGAATTAAAGAACTAGTCTCGTCTCTAATTCAACAATCAACCTAGATATATGGAAGCAATCTTAAGCTTTAATACCTTGTTCAACAAAATTCTAGTACTACATCTCAACCTGTTTTATTTTGACTTAATTTTAATACCACCAAGAACCATGCATGCCACCCTTCCCCCAGTCACTCTCAACTTCAAACATCCCAAACTCAACAATAATACTTCCCACATTAGTGTTGTTTTAGACCGTAAATTCTCCTTCAGGAACTTCATGTTCTATGGATAGTTTGTAATATTGCTGCTGTGTGAAGTCTGAGTCTGAAAGCAGAGTAAAAGAAATTAAAGATTTATTTTATTTTATTTTATTTTATCTTTTTGGACAGTCGTATTGTATTATGAAGCACTCTAGTACTTCTGGTTATTCATAACATGTTTCTGAAACAGTTGCATTAGAAGGTAAATAGAAAACTGCATGTATGTGTGGTTAAAATTATTGGATCGACGTTGTAATATTTCAGATTTTTGGCCGAATGGCAACACCTTTAATTGCTAGCCCTCTCTTCCACTTCCCGCCTTCATATTCATACAGAGAGAATTCAATTTCTCCAACCTTATCTGGTGACATCTCAAACTGCCCTACTGGGATCTCTATCCATTGTCCCCTTGCCTTTTCCTTGAAGCTTTCTTTGTGTTCTTGCTTTTTTCCATCTGGGAGAACAAGTCTAATGTTCACTGGAACTTCCCACCCATCACCAGGATCCTTCAACATTATAACAAATATAACCTCATAGCCAACTCCTGGTGACAGCTTTACTGTCTCAAATTTTCCATGAACTTCCAGCCAGCAGACATTTAGCAGCTCCGCAACGTCAACAAACACATCACTGCAAAATCAGGAGATGTAATCATTCAGAATCAAACTGTATTAGATGAAACACTACTACTTGCGAATTCATTAATTACATCTTAATTTTCATTCCAATGGATCAAAAATTTAACTCTGCCAATCTTGTTAGGGTCAGGATTAGATATCTCCTCTACTTACTTGGTTTCTTTTAGATAGGGCCAGTGCCAATAACGTTTGTCGTCGGACCAAGTGATTGAGAGATTCCGTGCAAATAACATGAAGCAGTTGCTGTTAGACTTTTCTTCAACCCAATACTTCTGCATTTATAAGAAAATTTTGTAACCATTAACAGTAGCAATACTAATAACAATGGAAATGATCGATAATGACAATTTTGAAACTTGTCCTGGGTGGCAATAGTGTCAAGACATTCAAGCCGATATCCAAAAATAAATAAAATACTTTTTCTTGAAATGTTTAATGTTGTGATGGATTTCAGCCTCTTGGCATTGACACGAGACTTGCCTTCCTCTTCTGGTTCAAGAATACTCCAGCATGAAGCTGATGATAGAGCTTCTCTGTAGAGGACTTGTCAACTGGTGAATCTGCATCTTTCACAATATCTTCGTAGGCATGAGGGAGCTTCAATTCTGTGGTGGTCTCAGTTGCCTTGTAATGAATGTCACGGGCCTCTTGGCTCTGTGATGTTGTGTTCCTGGGTTCTTGACTAGTCTGTGGAGCCTCATCTTTTGACCCTCCTGACCCCATCTCCTCACTACTGTCTGAGACCTAGCTTGCATGGAAATCGTGGTTTTTTATAGCATGGCTGGGTATAATTTGTGATAGATTCGTTGGCATGCATCATATCTAGTGTGTAAGTAGGTGCCGAAAGTGTCAGAATCTGGTTCCCCTCAATGGTATGGTATGGTATTCGTTGCAAGGCTTTAAGGTTAGGGATGCAATATATTGTTAAACAACATGCATCCACCCTAGCTACACAAGGTCGTGAGGTTGCACAAATAATTCCCACGCTTTTACAAAAGTAATTATTCCATGCATAAAGCTAGCTAGCACAATGGTCTGAATTAGGTAGTGATAAGGCAGTCATTCTATCTATCTTTATTCCTTGCTTTTGACAAAGTGACTACGTATTTGGTTGGAGAAGATGATCGATGGATCGATGTTCATCTTGAATTTTGCTTCCCTTATGGAAGGAGGAAGATAAAGATGCTTATCATCAATAGCTGGTGGCATCATCCATCTTTTTGAATTATTTTGGGATGAGCAGTAGCGTTGTATGAAACAATTAATTGCTTTCGATCGGTTGTAGATGGATCTATAATTGAAACAATTATGCATATTGAAACAATTAAACATAGCTGATTTACTTACAACTTTTGACTGCCAGGCCGGATCCGGATGGATAAATGTAAAACGTCTTCACATTCTACTCTTTTATACATATATGAGACCTGTTGGGAAAAATTATGATTTTATATTTATTAAAATAATAATATCATCATCAAACCTTCTTCCAATTACACGTACAGGAGTAGATCGAAGTGATAAACCTGTGTTGCTTTATGATGTTGATCATTTTCTAGAGTGCATATGTAGAAGAAGCGCATGGAATTGATGATTTTCTTTCAACTTCTTGTTGATGGATGATCCATCTCACCAATTCTAGAGTGCGTATGTATGCTTTATTTATTTCTTTTATTATATCATAGAATAATACATAAAAAGAAGCGAATTATTCATCACTTGAAATTCAACTAAAATAGAAGTTGATACACGCACGCAACAATCAATCAAATATGGAAGCAACCGTCTTACAAGAAGTATAGGTTTAGTACATACGTTGCATGTTCAACGTACAAAACATCCCAAACTCAACAATACTAGTACTACTTCCAATGTTGTTGTTTGAGAGTAGCGTAAATTCTCCTCCAGGAACTTCATGCCACATGTCCTGTTTCACCCTGTAGAGCTCTAGTATAACGGTGCGCTGGGTCTCTTGTCCTCCGTCCACTCTCACCTTGAACTTGATGGGAGAAGAGTGCCACCCAAATGCATCAGCCCTGAACTTAATTATATACAATATTGTGTTTGTTTTTGCAGGTGAGAGTAGCGAGACAGCTGCCATTTTCCCTGTCACCACAAGCCAATTCACTTGTAAAAGCACTGAACCTTCTTCAAACCCGATCAACCTGCAGTATGAATTCCGTCTTCTTATATTTATATATATTACACAAATTAATTACGGTAATATCCAACAAATAATTAATATATATTTAACTTAATTAATCTTACTGTTTATCCTCTTGGGTAAGTTTGATGTGGTCCCAATAACGGGGATCGTTGCCCCATATGATGTATAATGCTCTGGTAGGGATTCTGAGTGTAGTAGAATCTGCAGGGTCACTTATGAAAGAGTGATCCTTTTTAAATTAAAATAAGATAAGTAATCATTAAATTAGGGGATGTAATGGACATGAATAATTAAATTGTGCATGAAATTAATTGTGTGAACCAAGTCCCAAAAAAAAAAAACATGGGTTTGAGAGAGAAAGAGGGGAAAGACATTTACATACACCCTTCAAGTGGGGAGAAGTGGAGTTACCATTTGCATGCTCATACTCCATTTGTTAGGTGGCCGGGAATATTATTGTTATTATTTTTTTGAAGCCAAGTGAAGAAGAATGTGAATTTAAGCCCCCGCGGTTTGGATGAGATGGGAGGGGGCTTGGCTTGGGCTATCCCTGGCCCAGGAGTCTCTTTCCCCTCTTTTATTACCACGATTAAAATTGTTGCTGAGGTGTAGGATCATCGACACCTTTTTCAGTTAAAAAAGAATGTGAATTTATATAATTGTAGCATGGGACTAATATGGATCCTACCAACTTAAGTAAAGTAAAGTGGGACAGTACGTACTACACCAATCTGAAATTTGATGGTAGTTAGTTGTGTACCATTTAATCACGGACTTCCTTCTTATTCCATTCCTCTTTTAACTCTTTTCATCTTTATCTTTCACCGAACCAGTAAGACAAATATTAATATGTATGTGGAATAATAATAGATGATTTAATCAGTAATTAATCTACTTTGCTAAAGGTGGATTCCATCACATTTTCCTGGATTGGCACGCATGCCTCTTCCAAGCATATTTCAGGTTGCTCAATTTAACTTTTTTTAAAATAAAAAATAAAAAAATGAAGGTAGTTCCTATTCATGTCTACTGCATGTCTAGGGAATGAGGAGAAATATGGCGTGAAGAGTAAACAACCAGAAGCCGTACGTACTCCTTTGGAATAAGGTGGTTTTCAAGTTATCTCTAAACCACCCCTTTATTCCTTTTTATCAACTCTGTCGTGTACCACGGCGAATGGGATACCCCCAAACTTGGTCCTCATCTCATTGGGGGGCGATATCAACTTGTTAGCAAATTAACCAAAATTTCATCCCAACCATCCAATCAATAAGTGGAGACCAAATCACCAATCACACATTTTGATTTTTAACTAGACTTTTTTTATTATTATTGATTTTTAAATTGACAAACATGATGAGTGGTGGGATTTTGAAAATCATAGAGTCGACTTTCACCGTCCCAAACAAAACAGTCTACTACCTTCGTAGTAAAGTGCGGCAACCTTGTACGTGGGTAGGTGTGCAGTGAGCATGTGCAAGTGGCACTGTTAAGGCTATTACATTGGGCGAGTTACAGGTGCATAATCCCACATCACTTAGATGTGGGAAAGAAGAAATATATACTATATATGTGTGTGTGTGTGTCACTCCAATTGGTGTGAGGTCTTTTAAGATAAAACTCAATAGCAAAATCGTACCGGCTCAGACCCAAAACGGACAATATATATTATAATATGTGGTGGAATGAGTACTTTGTGATTCAGGCTCACACTCACTCTAATAACTCCACTAATTGCTAAGCATCCCAATAGTCAAAACATTTTTCTTTTTTTGGTTAATTACAATGACACCCCCTTAGATTTGGGGTATTGACAGGCATATATAAGTTAGCCATTTTTTGAACACTCACACCCCCCGCCTAAAATTTAATCCAAACAAGCCCTTAAAAGTTATGAAAAGACGAGATTACCCTTCAGTAAAATATCAATTATTAATCTAAAATATCAAAATATATATATATGACAGAACTACCCTTCTTAAATCATATTTCTCTCTACCCTCTGCTCCGAAAAAACCTAAACTCGATGACCAGTGCCACGCCGCCGCAGTTCTAACCTTCGCGCCGTGCCGCGCCGCCACCGCTGGAGTTCCGAGCTCTGCGTTGAGGACTGACGAGGATGCCATCGAGCCGTTACAGGAACCGCGAACCAGAAAATCGTTACCGGAATCGTGACTGATTCCTCATTGCCGGCTCGAATTCTGATTTACCCGGCAACGGCCTCTGGCCAACAAAAACTCTGGATACTCTCCGGCAATGGCCTCTGCCCGAACCCTCACCGTCATCTATTTTTAACAAGAGGGAGACTTGGTGGGATGAATCGACCCCCAAGAATAGCGGTTGTGATGGATCCGACGGGGACGGGTTGGCGGTGAGTTCTGCGAGGATGAACTCGGCCTCGGCTTTGGAGAGCGGATGGCTCGGCCATGGAGGACTCGCGGCGACTGGTGAGGGCTCGGCCTCGGCTGTTGACAACGGGAAGACGGCCTTGGCAGTGGGTGACGGGCTGATAGCACTGAACGCCGGTGGATAGCTTAGCTGGACGGAATCGGCAGCAGTTGGCTTGGTTGACTTCGGAACGACAGTGACGGTCGCGGCTGACTGACAGCGGCGGTGACGGGCTCTGACTCGTCCGAGTTGGACTCGGTCGGGTTCAATGGCTGTGCTCGGAAGGTGGAGAAATGGGGACGGCAGACAGCTCGGGTTCAATTGGTTGGGTTTTGGTTTTCAATGGGTTCATTTGGTTGGATTTTTTATTGGTTTTTCATGGGATTAATTGATGGGTTTTGGTTGTGGTGGTAGAGGTTGCAGTGGTGGGTGGAGAAAGAAAGAAGGGGTGGGCAGTATTGGTGGCGGCGGTGGCGGTAATACAGCCGGGTTCAATGGCGACCTCTACCCTATGTTTTGTATGTATGTATATATAGATATATGTGTATAATTACCCTATTGTTTTGTATATATGTATATATAGATATATGTGTATAATTTTGAATTGTTGGGTTTGTGTGGTGGTGGTGGTGGTGGTGGAACAATGAAGAAGATGGTGGTTGTCAAGGTTACAGTGGTGGTGAATGGTGGTGGTGTATATTAGTTAAGGTTATTTTGGTCATTTTACGTGGTCAAAGGGTAAACATGTACTTTCATCCTATTTGGGGTGTCATTATTTAAGTTTGCAAACTTGGGGGGTCTCATTGTCCAAAAAAGAGCTAACTTATATATGACTGTCAATACGATAAACCTCAAGGGGTGTCGTTGTGATTAACCTTTCTTTTTTTTAAACTCTAATTAATCAAGAGAGTTTACATAGAGTAGGACTACCCTACAAGTTTAGATAAAAATAGCAAATTAAAAAATTATCAAAATCTGATTTTAATTCACACACAAGTACAATTGATTCTACTTCAAAGTGCAACCAGTTTTATTTTTCAATCTTGAGACATGTTTTCTTGCAAGAAGTGCATCGGGTTCAAGTTCCAAGTGCAACTGATTGTAAATATACTTTCACCGACCATGAATCATTTTTCTCAAGTCTTACCTCACCAAACTCGAAATTTAAAGTGTACTCACTCATATACCTGTTCCAAATGATGATCTCTATTGAATCGAAATATGTTTGCACATTAAAACACTATATTTTAACGCTAAAATTTATCAATTACAAAATTTATATTATATCTCACAAAAGACCTCTAGCTCACACCTTCGGTAATTTTTTATGCTTCAATTATTTATATATATGGTCAGTTAGCTAGTCACCTTAATTCTGTAGTTTCAGATTGATGCTTCATTTATTTATGCTTCATTTATTTATATGGTTGCAACCCGAGAGTATGGCTAAAAAAAAAAAGGTGTTACTATAACATTCCTAATAAAGGATTAAAAAATTCCACCTGAATTATACAACAGTTATTTACACGACTATTAAATATGATAAGCTTTCGCTTTTACTACAGTTTTGGGATATCAAAACTATTTTATTACTTTCAAACTCTTTTAATCGGGCGTTATAAGTGGCCAACCAACTTTACCTTTCACAAGGGATCATTACTTCAATGCTTCATGTAACACATCCACAAAACGGAGAGCAACCCCCGGAGAGTTAGGGCAAGTTAGGCCATTCCTACCTTCTTAGTTTCTCTAAATTATTCTAGAGTTCATATTTTGTAAACATATTTTTCGTATATTTTAATGTCAAAGTTTTCTTCTTCTAAAAATTTCTAGAAGAGTGCATCGATTCTTAATCATCTTCTTCTTGTCTCTTCTTCTTTTTCTTTTTTTTTTTTTTGGGTGAATTACACAGGCCTCCCATATGATTTGTCATAATTATAGAAACCTTCCTTGTGCTTTGAAAAATTACTCAAACCTCCCTAAAAATGAAACTATCCTACACGAACCTCCCCTCTTAGTGATAGATCGTTAAATAGACTAACGAACCTGTCTAATTACTAAAATACTTATACTTTAACTAAGGGTATTATAGGAATTTTAGTGTATTAAATACATTACATTAGCAAAAATCGTCATTGACCCTCGTTGACCATCACAGAAGGGAGGTCCATGTAGGATAGTTTCATTTTTAAGGGAGATCTGAAAAATTCTCAAACTACAGGAAGGTTCTTGTAATTATGAAAAATTATAAGAAAGATATATGTAATTTACCCTTTTTATTTTTAAGTGACTATTTTTGTAACACAAGTTTCATTATAAGTTCTTTTATTTAATTTTTACTCTCTACAATTTATATGTGGATCATTTTAAATAAATATAATGTAATAATATTTTGAAGAACATATTTTATAAAATTTTGATAATAGAAAGGGATGAAAATGTGTGTGCATACGATAAGTCTCCAATGTTTACGTAATTTGTTACGTAAAATAAAAGATTAAAAAAAAAAAAAAAACATTGACAATGGTGGTGATGAAAGTTGTGGTGTTGGAGGCTTGTTTAAATTTTTCTTTAAGCCTCCAATTGTGAGCAACCAAATCCAATATATAAATAAATAAACAATGCCTCCAATTGTGAGCAACCAAATCCAATATATAAATAAATAAACAATACCCTTTAATTATTCACGATTAGAAGCCCTGAACATTTGATCAAATTCTAAGTTAGAGGCACAAAGCAAAAGATTGGAAAAAAAAAAAAAAAAAAAAAAAAAAAAGATAGATTAAACAGTATAATTTGCTTCCATTATTCACTGCTCGCAATTGAAATTGTGTGATCAAATTAAATAACGATGATGCTCGGTGAGGTCTCCACTAAATTTAAGCAAACTATTTCACCCATCACTACAATGATAGATACGGTGACAACATTGACAAGCTATGTTGTACGTGTTTGTAGTTATTAGTTCTCTTATAATTAATCTCCCAAACATGCCTATATATATATATATATATATATATAAACGTACTGATGAATGAAAAAAGGATGCGAGCCAAGTTTACGTCATGCACCAATCTTATATATAGCATCGTGGATAATTAAAATGCTGTCAAATTTTATTCAACTATGAAGAAGCTAGGATATATTCTTATTTTTCTTTATTAGTTAACAAGCAATACAACTATTTTTTTGGGTAATAACAAGCAATACAATTATTCAAATCAAGGCTACATAATATATATATGGTTTCCTTTGTTTTGGACGTTATGAGGCTGGACACTTATTATATAGTAGTATGTAGTGTGTGTGTGTGTGTGTGTGTGTGTGTGTGTGTATCGATCTTCACTTAGGTGGTGGTGTCTCTTTAATGAATGCATGGTGAATTCGCAAACCTCCTTTCCACTTGCCACTCCATACTTCATACAAGCCAAAATAAAGCGTTCTGTCGTCTTCGGAAGCAACTTGAGATGGAACCTCCATGAACAAATTTTCCTCTGGAATTTGGAATTCAGCTTTATCGGTTTGAGTTGTTAAAAGCAGTTTTTTCCAAATGTATTTTCCCTTTTTCCCTAGCTTAGCCATGATGAAGACATGACAACCACTCCATCCAAATGCATCGGATGTCAATGACACTGTGAACCCAATTTGGTACCTTTTTTTAAGAACCAGAGGAATTGAACACGATACCTCAAGCCAACACACTTGTAGTAATTCTGCTACACTCTCATTTTTATTCCTGCTTAATGCACAAGCAATATATATATTATTAGAAATATTCCAAATTAATTTACATATATATAGCATCCATCAGCTACATAAAATGCAGGCCTGCCCCTGCTGCCAAGTTTGTGTGTTTTTGTGTGTGTATCTGTGTGTGTAATGCATGGGCATATAGAATATATTAATCCATGCCCTCTAGCTCTTGTTGAGATTATTTATATCTCTTCCTTCTTAATTTGTTGGACTATTTATATATATTTATTTACACATTCAATACAACTTGCTTAAACTTCCCAAAAATAATATAATAAAATAAAATAATAATTAATCTACAAAGAACTCACGTTGTCATGCGCCAATAACGATCGTCATTGCCCCATACAATATTAAGTCCTCTAGGAAAAATTTTACAATCATACGGATCCCGTTTTATAACCTGCATCCATGAAAAATATATATATATCATCTTAATTAATGTTGAATATTATAGAGAATTCATGAGAGAACTAATTCAATCATTCCAAAATATTTTAATGAATTTGATCATATATCTTAATTTTTACCCCTCGGGAAAACAAAGAACTCTTACATAAATATATATATGTATGCAGATAATTATAAAGAAGAAGAGTACATTTTACCTCTTTTGCCGTGGGGTCTGCCTCGTAATGAGGATTGTTTGAAGCCATAGGAGGCAAGCAAATAGAGCAAGCTAGACAGTGCGATTGAGTACCTTTTTTGTTCAAGCTTCTGTATGAAATTGAAGGATATATAGATTAGCAGGTTGTATATATATATATATATATACACGAATGAAAAGAAGTAGTGTGTGTTAGAGTTGCACATATCCTCTTCTACGCTCAAGGAATATTATTTTTAATAGTTGCACTCCACAAACAAAGAGAGATATCGATGGACAGAGTAAAGGAATCAGGAAAGTGTAAATGGACCATATGAAAAGAAAGTTGCCTTGACACTTTTAAAAAGAGAATATTAATTGTGGGCTAAAGCTATATATATATAGCTTTGAATTATTACAAATATATTATCAACCGGCTCATATTTCAACACGTAAGGAATCAAAATTAATTGTTGGGAAATAAAATTTCAATTGATATCTACATATATAAGTTAACGTAAATTCAATTCCAGATTACCCATGCATATTGGTGAATGGATATTCAGTATCAAACTCGATCAACATATATATATACATACATGAAAATCAACTCACCAAATTACGTGCGGAAATACAAGAAATACTCCCACTGTTTTTTTTTAATAAAAAATAAAAAATCACCAATACTTCCATGGTTTGTGTTGGATATATATATATATATACACACTCAATTACACGTACACCCTCGAAACATTAATGTTTCTTCGTGAAATTTAAAGACCAATCCTAAATCGTTGCTTTTGCCTTGGATATATACACTGAATCCATTTTTTTATTAAGGCATATATAGTTTATATGATATATGTTTAACTTTACCCAATTTCCTCAAGTGGTAGTATTTAACTAAATGTAGCTAGGGATGTCAATTTTTAACCCCCCCCCCCCCCCCGGCGCCGAAGCCCCGTCCCGTCCCGCCCTATTAATAACGGATATAGGAAGACTTTTTATACCGTTGGAACGGGTATGGATACAAATTTTGTACCCGTCGCAGGTCACGAGACTGGTAAGGGTTCAGTATACATATCCTAGAGGCCCCGCCTCGTCTTTCCCGCCCCGCTAAGCATATAACTATATATATAATATTAATAACTCTTACCCAGTTACGGATCTCTTACAATCCTAATTTGAGATGTAAACTTGGTATTAAATTTACTTTTGTTTTGATTATAGTGGAAGTTGGAGCTTAGAACTTCTTGTGATTTGGTTGTATTAAACTTTTATTTTTGTTTATTATGTTCTCTGAATTATGTTATGTGTATGTTATTTTTTTATTTTTGTTGGGATACATAATTTCATTTATGTTATGCCATTCCCGGGCTTTCCACATTTAAATAGCAGGAGTTTAAGTTCCAAAAGTGAGAGAAAAAAATTTATTAGCTGGGCGGGCACAAGGGCACAGTATTTCCTAACGGAGCGGAGCTGGATATGAAAATCTAATCCGTCGCTGGTCTCGGGGGAGGGGGAGGGGGGGGGGGCATGGACTTGATAAAAATTAAAAGGGGCGGGGCGGGATTTAGGGAAACCCGCTCTAAATTCGCCCCGTTGCCATTCCTAAATGTAGCCACCTTAATAGGAAAACAGTATATTGAAAAGGCTCTCTCTCCCACCAACTCTTATATATTTTGGTTGAATTTCCAATATATACGTAGATATATATATATATACTTACATGTATTTTTACCAATATACATATACACACACATGTATTATTAGAATCAAAGTTGAACCACATTTTGGCAAGCACTTTGTCAGAATCACATATTGGTCCACTAGTTATACAACTTTCGGAAGAATCAGAATAAAACCATCCTGCTTGTGCTAGCTAGCTCCCCATATTTAACGGTGTACCATTACGTGATACATTTCTCAACTATATATATATATATACACATATTCATTTTTTTATGCGTGCCAGTGCCAGTGCTTGCATCCCATTAATTCCAATACCAATAATTAATTTGACGATCATTCATTTCTTTATTCAATAATTGAGCAAGAATCAGAGTTAAGTCATGCTTGCAAAATACTACTATTGTTAGAACAGATATATCCTTACGGATTGATCATATGTGCAGCATATATATAATATATATTATATTTTAGGAAATGATAAAAATATTCTCCAATAAACAACGTGTGAGACCAGATATTCCAAAACGCACACACATAAGCAAGGTGGGTGGGTGCAGTAATATGAATATTTTAGGCACTTTAATTGTCTTATTATTTGGAGGTAATAAAAAAATAATAATAATTTTTTTACAAAATTGTAACTGTAATTAATTATTTGTATTCACTCTTTTAGCTGGTGCATGCTACTAGACAGTAGGTGATGGTGGGTTAAATTTAGAGACCGTACGTGACGTGATGTTTCTTTAATTTGTTACGTAGAAATCATTCGAGCTTCTTGGTCGGCGTCGTGAAGTTTTGGGAATTGGAAGACTTTATGGATGTAGAATTTTGGGTTATTTGATGTTTCGGAGCATATATTGGACCCGACCCTTTCGGATTATCCGTGTGAGATTATAGATAGTCATTTTTTGTTTAAATTTTCAAGGACTGCCTCATGCTCTACTTGATGCCAAGTTTGTGTAAATACATATATATCCCCAAGCTGCAATAACTCTTAAATGAAATTGTTAATTATCTTTTATTGATGTTATTTAATAATAATGTACCATGAGGATGGATCATGGATTGCATAATCAGGTCACATATATATTAAATACGGGAAACACTGCCTCCTCCACATGCATTGCATAAGCAACACTTCGTTGATGTATTGACAACAACCGTCAAAAGTTTCCTTGTAATAAGCATGCACAAGCACTACCCCTCGTCATTGTGTGTGAAATTCAAACATTATCAACGAAGCAAAAGTGAACTACAATATTACAATTATATATGAACTACAACAACATAATTAATCTTCTTCTTACAAAGTTACAGAAACAATTAATACTGGAGTACATTATTACATTTATATATGAACTACAACAACATAAATAATCTTTCTTCTCAGTCTAAATGGCTTAACATCTTTTCCCCAAATCACCAAATTAATTCAAAAATTTTATCAGATGATCCATGTTCAAACATGTACTCATCATCTAATGCCCTTCAAAACCCCTGAAAAGATCACGATCAAACAAAGTTGATGATAGCTTGCAGATTTCAGCCCTCAGGATCTGTTAAGTACATGGGGCTTTCCATTTCATCACCCATAATTGCAGAAGCAAAAGATTCAAAGCTATCTACAGTCGAAAGGGTAGAAGGAGATCCGTCAGAATCTGAGATGTCCTCGTCATTGATAATGATGCGTTCATCAATATCTGAGACATCCTCATCATGTATAATCATTTGTTCTTCATCGATTTCTGAAGTGTCCGATCCGGATGCTCCTAATAAAAGCTTGTTTATTGCAGCTTTGGCAGTTTCAACAAACCACTCATCCTCGGGCAGTGCACAACTGACAAATAACAAATTAGTCACACGTTTGAAAAGAATGTTTAGAATTTAGTCCTTCTATAATTGAAGAAAAAATAGAGAAAGCAAAGAAGAGGAAAATTAAGAGAATTAGGAGTGTTAGGTTTCAATCCCAGATGATGGCCATTACAAAAGAGCCCCACTACGTGTGACATTCATCACATATTTCTCAACGTATTCAAGAAAATGGAAAGTGTACCTTTGTGGGTCTATGCCTCTAGAGGAGAATGTCCTGATTGCACGAGCAATTATGGCTGATGCTATCTGTTGCACGTGTCGCGATGGATAACTTGCAAACCGTGCAATTTCGACAGTGAAGTGCATATCGAGAATTAACTGCCAAAACAGAAGTTGAATAAGAACTCAATGGGGAAAGAGAGACGGGTAATTCAGTGACATTTGCATAATAATGCAGGAAATATCTCCATTCATCATAGGATCTGGTCTGCATGGCATAATTCTGTACCCCAAAGAAAATTTTAAAAGTGATATGACACCAGCCAATCGTATTAATGGGGCAAAGACATGGCATATGATGCCAATCCAAGTCATTCATAGCAAACACTTCTTAGTCATACATTTATCATATGAAATAATAGAGCAACAATTTAGAACAAAAAGCAGGTTAACAGGTAATCATATACACATCAACTTGACAACTGATTTCATAACATATGCATAGAGAATGAGATTCCTAATGTATTTGGTGGTATATGACAAGGAAGAAGTTGAGCATGTTTTATCGGTCTGTCATAATACTCAACATGGTCTTTCAAAAAAGACCTTAGCATAAAAGGGAAAGATGTAGAACGTTGAAATGAAATTTTCATACCAATAAACAGAGTATCAACTAGCGAGAGAAACTTCCACAAGCACACCAAGTCATACTTGATCAAAACCCATAAACATAGCACATACATAACGATCTGACAGATATCAAATGAAAACTGGATAATTTATGTGTTCCTTTCACACAGCTTCGAGATAAAAGATGACCTCTGAACTTGAATCACAAATGTTAACCACCGAGATGTGATATTCAACCAAAGATCCTCACTCGCCACACCTGCCTTCCCCCCGCATTTCCTGCCAGAAACCTCTCAAACTGTCAGAAACTACCACCACACACCAAGGAAACACTTCAAATCTGACACCGCCAGGACACCTCAATCCTCACCCTCCTCAATACCATCCCATGTAGACTACCAATGCTCGTAGGGGTGGCAATACTTGACACGACATGCTAACACGACTCAAACAAGACACGGGATAAATTTAATAGTGTCGATCCGAATTGACTCAATAATTAACCGTGTCATGTTCGTGTTTGATCCACCAACCCATTTAACTAAATGTGTTATGTTAACATGAATCAACCCACCCTCACCCATTTATTACCCATTTAAACTTGTTTAAAATATAATATCTTAAAAATATTTGGACTGATTTGCCAATTCATGTCTTGCCGTGTCGTGTCGTGTCGTGTCAGGTCATGACCCATTTGTTAAATAGTTGTGCGGACCATGTCATATTACCTTTTAAATAATGTTGTGCTTGTGTCGACCCATATAGCGGAATATTCATGTCATGACACAACATGAATATGACACGGAAACACAAATTACCACCCCTATTCATGACTCCCTCAGCAACGTAGTCTTCAAAACCTCGCTGAAAGTGTATAGATTCTGGTATACTCACCTTAAGGACCAGTGCCGCCAACAATCCTCCCAAACAACAGTTCCTCTTTCTACAGCCTCACAGAGCATAGAAAGAAGCCTGACTGACCCATAACCAGACCCTAAACTTGTAGATCAGCAATATTGTGAGTGCAAATCTAAATCTCAATATTTATGGTTGAAGCCCATTTTATATCGACATCTGTCACCAGATTCTGATGGTAGAGTTTCTGCGGGGACCACCCATTATGTTTGGTGGCTTAACAGTATTAACATGGACATTGTATATGCTAGTGACAGAATTGCATACAAGGTCCTTCGGAGGTGTTTGATTTATAGTTCTTTGATGGGCCGACATTGAGGGGGGTGCTTTGGCACAATGATAAGCTTGTTCCATTGTGACCTGCAAATCACAAGTTCAAAACAAAAACATCTCCACATGCGGAAGTAAGACCAAGTACATCTCATGTTTCCTAAACCCCGCAGCGGCTAGAGCCTCCCATGCACTAAGTTAGCCCCCTTTTTCATGGACCACACTGGAAATGGGGCCAATTTATAAAGGCAGAGTACTTGGGGATAAAAAGATTTCAGAGGTAGGCCTGCCCCAGGCCCCCAACATCATATAGTCTCTTGACAAGTACCATAGTAGTAGAAATAAAAAATTGTGGAACCTAAGTTACAAAAACTCACATAATACAAATGATCCAGCATGATCCCTCCTTATTTGGTGTTATTTTAACACCAACAAAGAAAAAAATAAATCAACCTAGCATGAGAAAGGGTAAAGACTACCTATGTGAACAACCAATCATCGAGCTGAATTAAGGTTTCCAACACAATGCTACCAAAATAAGAGTATTTATATATCTAATTTCAATGTAATGTTAAAAAAAATTATGAAATGAAAGCATCTTTTCAACTTTAAAAAGTGAAATGTGTATCAATTTAAAAATTGTACTTGTTATATATTAAGGAATCTGAGAGCAAGCCTTGGCAGCGCAACGGTAAGACTGCTTTATTTTGACCTGATAGTCACGGGTTAGAAACAGAAACACTCTCCCTACATGCAAAAGTAAGGGTACATACATATGACCTTCCCCAGACCTAGCAAATGATGGGAGAGCCTTGTGCACTGGGATAGCCCTTTACATGAAGGAACTCGATAAAAACATTAATAATACCTAATTTTAAGAAACAATAAGGACAAACTTGAAATTATTCACCCGTACGTACAAGAAAAAAAATTTGGTTCATCATATGTAACAGGAACACTTCTGTTAGGCAGAAGCTCGAACATCCAAAATCATGCCAAGGTGCAACTATTTTTCTGGTCATGTTAGCAATGACCGTGACAAAGTCATTGCAACTTAAACTCCAATTTATTATAGATATATGAGTATGAGAAATCTACCTTACAATCTAAATTAGACGGAGAAGCCATTGAGTTCGGGTTGACAAACGTGATAACACTATTTAGGATCTGAGAGCAACCATTTCTGCAAATTACTTGCGAAGGTTACATTCATATTCAACCTTTAGAGGGACAATCTTTTATTCTAAAATAAACATCTCAACTCAATTGATTCTAACTATAAAAATTGAACACAAAAATTGAGCTTCATCTAAGACCATAATGCCTTCTTATGAGCTTCTTCCCAAATTTTTATTAGGTATTCACACAAGTGCTTTGACGTAGAAATAAAAAACTACAAATTCTTCCCACAGTGCCTTCTTTTTTCATTAAGTACTTGCCAATATTTTGGTCAAGTTATCATCTCTTGTGGCAAATTCTTAAGTAGGATTTTATTAGTTGATTCCAAGATTAGTAAGCTTGAACGGAATCCCAAAAGAAGTTGTTACTAATGTTAAGCAAGGGAAAGCTAATCGACAGTAATCTGTTGGATGTTAGTAAGTTAATTGTGTGATTTATCAAGATGAAATGTGTTATACGACCCATTTAATACTAAACATGTTACATGGGTCGTGTTCCGGTCAATAGTTTGTGACAAAAATCATTAACGGATCGTGTTTGGGTGATGCGGCCTAGTAACACGATTTGCCACCCCTAAAGACCAGATCTAGAAGAGAGAGAGAGAGAGAGAGAGAGACTTACTACCGTATAGGTATAAACAAGTAAAAATATTCATGTTTCTTTAAGAACAAATTTTAGGCGCAATGCTATTTGCACACTCACAAGTACTTGCAGTCCATTAATTTTTCCCCCGGTTAAAATGATAAAGTTGTCCATCAGAAGTCAAAACCAAATAATGCTGTGGAATAATAAGTGCAATGTGAAAGTGCTTCTGAAAGACGATTGTGTCATTTCCTTTTTAAACAGAAAGTGGAGTGTGAAAATGCATTTGGGAACTGTGAATATCGCTTATTTATATGGAAACAAAGTTCTATTAAGGAATACATATACGTGTCCTAACCTATGTTGCAACAGATCTGTTTCAGTTGGTGCTTCTTTATTATGTTTAGTTTGGTTCCACTCTTCATTTTGCATGTCATTCTTTAAAATACTCCTTACTGTGTATCACTATGTTTCTCTTGGTTTATGTTCATTTTTATTTAAGATTTTGAAGGACAGCGTTGATGGAGGAAAGTACCTGCTGTAATCCATGTGGCTGAAGAGGAGCCGAATCATCCTCCAACACACCCCAGAAATCCTGTTCATCGGACAACCACATTACCACCGTCTCTGTGAGCCTGGCAAGCAAAATTTTTTGTATTTTCTCTTTTCCAAGCAACACATCTCCCGCCACAGTTGCTAACTGCTGCAGCTTCCCAAACAATGCCTGAAAGCATCACATGACTATCGTGTTTAGTACATAATGTTCTAATCTTACCAAGAGAAAAAGGGAAAATCAAGAACATTCGCTATAAAATTGCATTCCGCCCAAAAGTTATTTGGGCAGGTAAAACTATAAAAAGCATGTTTGAAGGTTGTCAATGACACTGCACTTTGCAGGGAAAAGGATTAGAACAAAAACAAGATTGAATGACATTGGTTTTCCCAAGATGCATAATTAGTTTTTTCACAACGCGTTAAATGAAAACAAAAACACTAAACAGTGAATTTTTATAGGTCACTTTGAATTTTAAAATTAAAAAATGACAAACACGCACATGCTCAGAAGCACAAAAACAGAGGCATTAAACATATTTTATAACGATATCCAACATGCAAGAGGGGAGGGGGGGGGGGGGGGGGGGGGGGGGGGGTGTGGTGATGTTTCAAAGGTTTTCTTGGTAATTTAATTCATTCACCTACTTAGTTTCACATTCTATCCCAGTTTTGGGAAGTTAAGAGGCTGGGTAGCAGTCTTCTCAGACTTTGAGTAGTCCATGTTAGGATTGTGATGCATTTACAAAGGTACTCGACTGTCTAGGAAGTCCAAAGTGCAGTAAAATAATAACATTTTATGCAAAATTGGAATGTAATGAACTAATGAAGTAGAACATAGATAACTACTACTAATAAGGATAGATTAAGAATCTAAGATTCATCCTGGCTTGTCTAGAGTAATACTACCATAGCTGGATTCTCCCTCAACTCCTTCCTTTGTCACTACCCCTGGCAGCGATTGTGGATCACCTTAAATCTATCTAAACTTGCTCAAGTTGATCTATGGTCCTTTGGGATCAATTTCAGGCTGATCTAAATCAGATTCATAGTTAACAACATGTATGGAGACTGACAAAGTATAAAGTGGTCCCAACCCAAGCTCTACTATTTTCACAATGACCCCTGGACCGGAGGTTCTTGTGAATAATACAATGGCAACTCACTTTCCCACTTCTTTTTTGTCCAAGGTCCACACCCACAAATCTTTTACATTTTCCAATATGCCCCATCATTTTTTATTTTTTTCACATTTTCCAGAACCTATAGATGACAATTCAAAATAGAAAATACATGTTTCTAGATTTACTATTTAAATTTATCTTCATTACCAATATATATAAAACAAATAGAAATTTAATAAACAAATCAAAGATTATACAATAGTTATTTCTAAAACTTCAGATTTTCTTTTAAAAAAATTATTACCAATTTAAAGAAAATTTTAAACAATATTTAATTTAGTGATTCAGTTACGGTTTTATTCCCTTTTGACATAAAAAATTTAAAGAAAATTACAAATTTATTTATAAGACAAACTTAGCATTTAATATTCAATTTATTTAATTCTAAAACTTTATAATCTAAAAAGAAACTGTAACATTTTATTTAAAAAGAGGACTTGTAATGAGGTGTGAATATAATAAAATTTTCAAAAAAGAAATATATAAAAGGTTATAAACTTCTTTGATATAATTACTCTAAAAAATTTGCCATCTCCCAAACCAACCAACCAAAAAGAACATTTTTATCTGCCAATATACATGTAACTTTAAATTGTAATTGGAAAAAGAAAATTATAAGTAAATATGCAATAGTAGAAGAACCAGAGAAGTATTAAAGTATAACCTGGAATGGCAGAGAAGGCAGAGGGTCAGAGGCCCAAAACAGATCCTCCTCCTCCCCTCTCCCATTTAGATAAATTTGTGCATCTAGTCGTGTTTTTCCATCTCTTGAATAAATGAAATTTAAAACATATTGTCGACAGAAGTGATCTCTAAGCTTGTCCAACGAATGCTGAAGATGGCGCCTCCAATCCTTAAATTCTATATTACCTGTGGTAGGCAGAATGTTTTCAGTGAGTCCTCTTCCTTCTTCCTTGCTTTCATTCAGTGTGCTCCAAATTCTCGATACAACCATTGGTAATAGTTCCTCTGCAACAGTAAATGCAGTTCCCAATAGTGCAAGCTGTTGGGAATCTGTTTCAGCTCTAAAAGGAACAACCTCTTTCAGCTCTGTAAGATTGTCGTCTTCAGAGGGACCAGGTAAGGCCTTTATCAGAGTATCCACATATTTATCAAAAAGCTGTGAAATTCTTGTCAATATGTTTCCACCAAAGTGCAAAATGGCCGGGGGGGTTAGCTGTTCCACTAGATCCTGTCAAATATTTTACTCCAAGGTTAAAATATGAACAAATCATTTAGCTATCATCAACCATGTATCCAACATTAAATCAGTAAAATTCTCGCATAATATGTTTGCGTAGATATCTCCAATCTATTGATGCTCTGAGTCAAATGCCCGGGTGAGGCCTCCGAGACAGCCATTCTCAGCCCATCCCCCAGTCACCACACACATAATTCCAATCTGAGATAAAATCTTCAATTTAGGTGGTATTTCCTTTTGTAAAAAATATTATGGTATCTACATGCACAAAACTGTATGCATACACCAGTATAAACCATATGTACATATGTAGGCAACCAAATACGTCCACACCTATGAAGTAAAGATACTTCTAAAAAGGAGCTCTATTTGTATCGCATACGATATCCTCCATAGATTATTGCGGATGTGTTTGGTATTTCATAATTATATCCGAAGCCAAAATTAATTTTTTTAAATTTAAACATGTAAGCTATATTCCTCAAATATTTCACGGTATATGTCTAACACATCTTGAATATCAAGATACAGCACTTCTTATATAGCATTGTAGTGTAATTTCCAGAAAAGACATAAAAAAAGGTTTCAAATATATGGACAGCAGAAGAACTGGGATATAATGAGCAAAAATCATGCCAAATTTGGTCCCAATTCCATCTACATGGAGCACAACCTCTATTTTCTCATTGTGAATTTAATAACTCACTTAATTTTCTCATTTCAATTTTAATTGTAAGCTAGAAGCTTATTTGATAAATTCATTGCAAGTAATTGTGTGTCACAATGTGGATACATTATGATATGCAATCACCGTTAAAGTTCTGCATAACTATATATATTTATATTCTAGTGCATTCACCGTACCTGTATGTTTTTCTTATTCTTTAGCATAAATTACACTCACGCCCCTGTGGTTTGCTTTTATCACACGGTGCTCAAGATAAGCCTTTATTACACTGAACACCTTGCTGATGTTAAGAAGCTAGCGAACGTTAAAATTCTGGTAAAATGTCGTTTATGCCCTTCACTTATAAGATTAAAAAAAGAAAAATATCTTATATGCTAAATTACTTTTTACCCCTTATATATACATACATATACATATATATATATTTTTTTTTTGATAAGTAAAAGATGATAACATAACACACACACACACACACACATATATATATAAACTACTTGCTATTGTTAATGAAAGTGAACTGTAATTGTGAAACCACCATTCCTCTGGCTTTCTCTCTCTCTCTCTCTCCACCCACCGAAATCATCAAACAGCAAATCTTCAAAATTTTCAATAATGGAAATAATTCAAAATGTGGTTTGATCAAAATGGGTACCTTTATCAAACAATAAAGTATGCAAATGGGGTTTGGGTCTCTTGGAATGGGGTGTGGGTTTCTTCCATCAAAGAAAACGAGAGTATATATATATATATATATATAGAGAGAGAGAGAGAGAGCTGAATATATGAAGCAGTGACATATACATATAAATGTGTATATATATATGTGGAGGGAGAGAGAGAGCGAGCTGAATATATATATATATAGAAATGTGTGTAACATTGGAAAATTTTCAAATCTAAGAAGGCTACTAATGCCTTTTTAGTAAGGGAAAGAGAAGACCAATCACTAAGTCAAATTTCTGACGGTTCTAACAGCTCCTTAACGGCAGGGGGTTCGTTGAGCACACTTGCCTAACCTTGGGTACACAGTGATATTAAGCTCAATTTTGACCACCATGTGTAATTAGGTCTAACCTCAAGGGGTGTGAGTGCAATTTACGCTATTATTTATTGTGCCCGTGTCCACGTGGCGTATGCATGTGGATTGCATGAAGTATTTTTCAGAAATATTCTTGCATCTACGGGAATTAGGATTGCATAAACTATAGTAGACTATACAGATGCAAGAAGCATGTATTCTTGACAAAGACTGCTGGAACCATGAACGAACACAGCAGAGGATACCCACCTTTAGAAGTCCAAAAAGATATTTTAACATCCTGAATTCCTAATATTTCTGCAATCTCTTACATGAAACCAATTTTCTATTTGCAAACAATGTGAAAGCTAGGTGCTTGTGGCAGTTCCAATATTGGGTTCAAAATGATTCCCAGAGAGATTGGAACAAAAAAAGGATGACTTACTTTGATAGCAAAAATGAACCTCATTCCAGTATCAATATGCACACTATCAGACGACATTGCAAATGTAGACAGTGGAGATGCAAAGCGAGGTGATAATAGCAAACTCTCATCATTTTCGGCAAAGTCAAGAATTACTCTTCTTGCCCGTCTAAAATTCAACTCCAAAACTTCTTCAATGTACGGCTGCAAAAGCACCAAAAGCAACTTTGAGAGTTTCAGACCTTGTGATTCCAATGCAGAGCAGTGGTTAAGACTAGTCTGAATGCAAATGCTAGCAGCACGTAAAGCAAAAAGGGTCTCCAAAGAAGGCGCATTCTCCTTAACCAACCGTACTAAATATTCAATTTCCCATTCTGCCCATTGAACGACTCTGTTGGAATAAACAGGATTGTCGCCAAACATCAAACTGGATTCTTTTGTTGTCAGTGAGATTGTAGAGAATATAAGGTTAGAAAAAGTGGCCGGATATGTTGCAGGGTAACTTGGACAGCAAGGAAGAAAAGCCTCAATGCTTTTGTGGAGGCGTGACCCATATGATTTCAAAAGCAGGTGATGCGCCAATGGACCTTTCCCAAGCCTTAATAAACCAGACAAACCCTTCTTCCGTTCAAGACTAGGAAGTGATGGATGCTCAATGATCTCAACAAGCTGATCCTCAAGCATTGCCTTTCTTTTTAAAAATGCAGACTTGTAAGAAAGCGGTTCATTAGATGAAGCATCTACCAAGCCTTTTAGCTCCGGGTAACGTCTCTCTTCAGCATCTATCGCCTCTATCGCTTCTTCCACTTGATGCTCAGCCAAAAGAACATCAACATTCTCCAGAAAAATTGCCTTCTGATCTTCTGGTTCATTTGGAGAAGGATCTTCAAGTTCACGACTTTGAGGGTTCTCCTGACTTTCCTGGATACCATTACTCCGGTTCCACTCTTCCAAATCATGGGATACACCACTCATTAAATCCTGCACAAGAATCCCTTGAGCAGAAATATGCTTTCGCAGCTCATTCAACTCATGCTCCATTTCCACGACTTCTTCAGATAACCTAAAAGTTATTTCAATCAACACCATACGTATGTGGAGTAGCTACATAAATCAATGAACCAAATAACATAAATTCACATAATTTAAATCTGGAAGTAAGGAAGCAATAAGTAATCAGAAGCAGATAACTGGCAGGGCGAGAATCACAGCAACAAAGAGTTGCATTCTTTCTGGCACAAATTAGATATCCCATTTAATGGGTCATAAAGTCTTCAGCATCTTAATGTAATGAATTTGAACATAAAAAACTGCCCAAAAATTACTTGTAATACTTCTTTTGTTCTGTTAAAGTATTTACTTATTACAAACATTTTTGTTTATTTGTTTTGGAGGGGAGGAGGTGGTACAGAAGTCTTTGCTTGTTCCAACTGTTGAGCCTCACTATTTTACCTTGTTGGTCATTACCTAGAAGGTGGGGAGCCTTCATGTGAGTTCCCTGGTCAGGACTTCTATCAATAGTACTTTCCACATTGAGTCATATTTGCTGTCTTAAAACTGAAACAAACCTGTTGTAACATACTTACATATGTGCAAGGTTTATGGATAAAAACTACCAGAATGTGCAAAATTTGTAAACTACATGCATGCACGTGGAAATTTTGCTAATAGGTTAATCCGAAGAGAGAAACTGTGCTGCTATATTACTTCAAGAGATCCAATTATTAGCTTGAGTGGTATCTCCTGCCACTCTCAAAGGAGAGGTGCCAAGTACCAATAGGAACACAGGTGTATGTGTCGTAATTAACAAAAAAAATTATATATTACCTCGTGAAAGCCAAGTATTTTGTCCGTGTATTGCCACATAAGTTCTCTACTGCATCCTTTAAATCCAAAAGCTCAAAACAGAGCTTTCTTATTCCCTACACAAATAGCCTATTCAACTCATAATCATGGAAGTGTGACACCAAAAGAGGTTAATTGGAAATTCCTGCTAAAACAATGTTAGGAAAAGACAAGACAATGAATATATATTCTCATATTTAAAAAGGTTTGTAATCAAAATCGATGGCAAACAGTCAAAAGAATAGAATGGGATCATGATCCATATCCTTGTTTTGGCACTAGTTTATATACATAGCCATTACTCAAATAGTTATAGAAATGCAGTCACACACACCTCCACATGCCTATGGCTGCATAACATGATTAAAAACACCAAATTCATCCATAGAGAGGAGAACAAGCTTTTACATTTCTCTCAAAGAATTTACTTTCTTCGATTACAAAATTTTTGCTTTTTTTTTTTTTTTTTTGGTTGCAAAATTTTGGCTTGTTCTTACGTGTCTGAAATTGAACTGTCAAATGAAGAATACCATTTGAATTTGAGAGAAAACCCATCATTTTCGTGCTCCAATATTGTAACCAAACCTACCAAAAATAAATAAATATTATTCTGAGAATGATGGCTGCATAGTTGCTGTGTCAAATTTGACTGAATTCTTAAATATACCAAGGCTTAATCATATTTATACTGCCAAAATATAGCAAGCAAAACTAATCCAATGAGGCATCATTTGCATAATATTGAAAGACCGAATCCAGCCAATATCCGTAGGATTTTTTTTATTTTTTATTTTTTTTATTTTTTATTTATTTTTTTTTTTTATATATGGAAAAGGCAATAGTCAACGATAACCAATATAATGAGAATGCATGAGGCTATTGCATTGAGGCGCAAGGTTTAGAAAAAAAATAACCCCTCGATTTTAAACCAATAAAACATTACCATCCCTCTTTCGCTTTATGTATAAGAGGGAAAAGTAAAGCATAAGGTATTGCCCAAGGCACAAGTTTTGCATTGAATGAGACCCCACATACTTGAGACACAAGTTTAAAAGACATAAGCCTCAAACATTGAGTGTGAGTCTCAGTCAAGTTTCAGATATAACACACACCTTTTTGAAAATACAAAATGCAATTATTACCATCTTTTTTTTTATAAGTAAGAATGCAATTAATACCATCTTGAACATAGTTTTCCAAGTCAAATATCAAAAAAGTGTCTGATGATTTTTTTACACTGCTTGACACACTGATGACTCTCCCACATTGCTTCAAATGCTGATGATTACCATGAGATATAATGCTATTCTTGGAGTTAGCTTTTTCCTTAATTTGTATGGTGCATACTACAATAATTATGCTCTGTTCAAGGTTGAAGGTGTAGACTTCATATGAGCTTCACAATTTAAAGCATGAGACTTAAAAAAGGTTGAGCACTAAAGTTTGACCCTCACCACAATTGAGTTCTGAAGCACCAGACTTGCATAACTTTTAGAATCATGCTGCGCACTGCAAATATACTCCTTTGTTTGCCTTATTTTTTAATGTTAAGAAGCCCTCTTACCATCTTGATCACCTAGAATTCGTATAATATTTTTTTTTGTTAAGCTACATTGATATAGTACACGGCAATACAGTTGTAGGTAAACTAGGATTGCAAAAAAAATTGTTGAAGAGTACCTTGTTACTTCTCAGACAACTCAAATTCCTGCCAGATACCAATAGCACATCAATGCCCTGGTCACTTAAGCTGTATGAAACTAAAGGAATAGCTTTGAATCAATTAATAATGTTCTACTCGTTCACTTCCTATGAGAAGAGAAGGTGTTTTCTATTACTCTTAGAAGAAGTGACAAAAACTAACCAAGATGATGGCCCAAAATTTTTAAGAAGCCAGAAAATTGCATCCCTTGATCATATAATTAAATTTACTATTATTATGGTTGCAGAGGAAAACTTCCTATAGTTTACCAAACCCATCATGCCTAGAAGAACAAAGCTAGAAAAATGCAGAAGGAACAAACTTAAATTTCATGGTTCTTTTATCCTCCTAGATCATCAAATCTCTCTTCTCATCAAATAGTTCTCTCATAGTTTAAAGAAATATATCATTTCACCTTTAAAGCTTTTATTTCAAGCTTTCTTAGATGGGTTCAAATGTTATCATTTCACCTTTAAAGCTTCTAAGTACAAAAAATAAACGCGTTGAGCATACTTGCAAATCAAAAAATTCAGGGACAATCAGCAGAAAGTCCGACCCTTCTAGAAACTCAAACAAGTATCCATCTGAGAAAATATCCTACTTATGTGCCACATGCAAGAGGCTCCTGCCATTGCGGGGTCTGGGGAGGGTTAGATATACGGAGCCTTACCTTCGCATGGAGAGGCTATTTCCGATTTCAAACCTATGACCTCCAAGTCACAATGGAGCAACCTTACCGTTGCGCCAAGGCTCACCCTCTATGTGCCCATGGGATCAAAATCACATTATTGGTCGTACAAATAACTAGAGGCTTACAATTTCAGCGCTGGTTCTAAATAGACAATCCAATTTCTCATAATGTCCCAGGTTGCAGTGTGAAACTATAAGACGCTATGGGGCCAAAATAAAGGGCAATGGAAATATGCAATTACTACATTCTCCCAAACTGTTAAATGTGGCAACTTTATTTATTTTATTTTTTGATAAGTAAGATTTCTTAAATGTGGTCACATTTTCCAACTGAAGATTAAAGAATCTCAAATAGTCATACAATCCATAATGTTTTTCATAAGTTTTGTTATGAGCTTAAAATCTCCCTCCCTCCCTCCCTCCCTCTCTCTCTCTCTCTCTCTCTCTCTCTCTCTAAGACTTCGATTCCTCAATGCAGGTAAGTTATAGTTTTTAACCAGTGAGTGGTTTTCCAGCGAGTCATGCCTTCAGCAATTGGATCTTTTCAAAACTCCAGCAATTTAAGAAGAATTAGATCCTTGGAGATTTTTGTTGAAGAGGAGGGTGAGGAATGAGGATACAGCATTAGTCTCCATAAATTCTACTATGAACGAAATTTTCTTAACGTTTACAGACAAGCTTACTTTGATAATGTTAAAGGCCAGATACCAATTGTTTGTCCTAATATTTTTTCTAATGTTTCCATACACCTAGTGCAAGATTCCCAAAAAATGTTCATTCAATTTGGAAATTTTCTACTTAATGGGAAGCTTGTGGTGCATGTAATATTCCTCTCTTGCAGTTCAGAATCTCGAGCAAATGATGCCAATAAAAATAGGCCCATTCTTTACCATTATGAGAAGAGTCATGAAGCAAATCTTTTATATCTTTTATTTTGTAATCAAATATTTATTACAAAATTAATGGAGTTACTGCAGCAAAATGTAGAAATTAATATTTAAAAAAAAAAAAAAAAAAGTTGCTACAAAAAATAACTGTTGAAAGCCAAATTCTTAACATATTTGTTACTCTCATGAAATTACAGTTCATTCTATTCCTGTTCTTAATAGTTGAGGCAATCAACCTTTAACAGAAATTTCATACTAACAAATCAAACAATAGGTTGAATTCTGTAGAATGTCACCCAACCACAATTACTAATATATCTCACTGATTTAACTCGAAAACGATTAAATTTTATAAAGAAATGAGAAAATTCCAGATTACCAAATACTAAAATAAAGACACAGAATCTACAATGCCACCCATATAGGCAAACAGTCCACATAGATTGAACTCAAAATAGTTTCAACTAACAACCCCAGTTAACTAGTCTGATGAGTGATGACGGAACATGAGAGGTAGGTAATCAATTTCTGAATAAAAATAACTTGAAACAGAAAACCCACAATGATAAATACGGCTGCTTTCATGGAAGTAAACTTCAAACAGAGACGAGCCAGATGAAAAGAAACTATTTCATTTATGGATTTGAGAAAAGAAACTAAATCAATAAAGAATAAATGTTAAAAAATGCGCTACTTTTGCACAACTAAAGAAAGAGGACCTAGCGAAAACCCACTTTGGTTGGTTGATAGGAAAATGTAGGAAAACGAACAAAATTAGATTTTCCTTCAGTGAATTAACCCAATACCCACTCGCAGCGCAACAACATTACTTGTGGAGGAAGAGAGAGAGACCGACTCAACTAAACCATATAGAAATAATATTAGACATAGTTGAGTGGAGATTTTATTATAGGGTTTTAATTTATTTTGTCTTCAGTTTAATACATTTCTTCAGCAATCAAAGAAAATGGAAGGAACAAAAGAGAAAACAAACCTTTTCAGTCTTGGACTGATATACTGTGTCGATCTTAGATTGTGGAGTGACAGATTCGATAGATGGAAAGTCGTCGTCTTCTTCACTGCTCTCCATTTCTTCTTGCGCCTCTTTTGTTCACCAACACCACTTCACTGTCTTAATTTGCAGTTTGAGCAAATCAACTCTAAATCCAAAGACCTATTATAATTATTTAATAAATAAATAAAATTACCAATAAAGTCCTACATCTCATAAATATAAGGGTAAATTGCAAAAATAAAATAAAATAAATTATGTTTTAATTTTCAAATTATTCCCAAAAACTATATTTTGTGCATAATACTCCATAAATTATTATATTTTATTATAAAATACCCAGATGCCTATAATATATTTCATTAAATGATTATAATATCCCTTCTTATTGAATTACACTTGATTTATCTTTCTTATTTAAATAAATTATGAAAAAAAATCATATTAATTTTATTACATATTCTCAATTAAATTTGTATTAATTTACCTTTAATTTTTATAATTAATTATTTAAATAAAAATATTTAGTAGAAAATTTTATAAAAATTTACTTAATTTTTTAATTTGTAATGACCATATTACATGAAACAAAGGTATTTTTTAACTAATTTTTAAATTTTTTATCAATGTATTGTATGAAAAAAATATATTTTTGTACTATAAAAAAGTTTTAAATGATTATAATATGTTTTATTATAAATAATAAAAAATTTAATAAAAATTTAATTATTTTATAAAATGGTAGTTACAAATCTATTTATCTTTTTTTTTTCATTTTTATGATAAATTGATACTAATAATAAAAATAAGGTAAATAATATAATTAATATTTAGATAAGTGAAAAAGATAATAAAAATAATTTAATAAGAAATAAAATTTTAATGAGAAAGGGTAAAATAGTCTTTTGAAATGGGTTTGTTCTTAATTATAACGCATCAATGGTTCACGAGACCCTTTTTAGTTCATGAGGATTAATTGCAAAAGGGCAATAGTTAAAGGGATTTTTTTGCATTTTTCCCTAAATATAATTAATAAAAAGGTGGCAATAGCGACAATCTATATATATTTTTTTTTAACCTTACCCCTTCCATCTTAAAACAAAAACACTTATAACTATAAAAAGGAGGCGATAGAGGCCTAGCAATATTAGGCCCCTAGTTCCCAAACAGATGTCAGGTTCAAGCCTCCAGGCATGTGTGTGTGTAAACCAATAATGAAAAATATATATATTATTTTTTAAAATATTACACAATTATTCTTTCATGTATAAACTATTTTTTTTTCCTTCTCCCCTTCTCAATCTAGTCTTTATACTATATTTGGTTGAAGAGGAGGACGGAGGGGGAAATAAAAGAAGTTTTTTTTTTTTTTGTTGAAGATAAGGGAAAAGAGGAGAGAAAAAGCAGAATAATAACTAACAAGTTTTTAATTTTCATTTTTAACATTGTTGTTGCATAATTTGGAATTGATATATAATAATTATATAATGAGAGTATATTAATAAAAACAATATAAAACTTACTTTCACTTCCTTCCAACTAAAAAAAAAAGTATCACTACATCCATCCTTTCTATTATCCATTTCATCCAACCAAACAAAAATCGATGGACTTATCTTCCTTAGGGATGCCACATCCATCCTTTCCTCTCTCTCTTCAATCCATTTTTCCATCCCTCCATCCAAACGAAATATTAATGTTTTCGGTCTCTTTTGACAAAACCTAATAGAAACCAAAAAGGAAAAATATATATATATATATATATATATATATCTTTGTTGAATAAATTATAACTCTTTTTATATTACAATAAAAATAAAATATCTCTTTTGACAAGACAAAAAAATAATATAATAAGTTATCCCTTTTGATAGGACCCAAAAAGAAAAATTAAAAAGGACAATACTTAGGGGTGATCATGGATCGGTTTGGTTTGGGGTAAAGTTCAATCTAAACCGGTCTCCACGGATTGGAGAAATTTGAAACCAAACCAATCGGTGGGGACCTTTAATCCGAACCAAACCGATTCGTGAAATAACGGATCGGTTTGGGCAGATTGGGCTTTTCAAATAGCCCAATATAATTACAACTTATGACCCACTAAAATATCAAATTAGTGATTAAAAACTAGTAATTAAAACTAGAAAAATTAAATAGATTTGTAAATCATATACCAAGTAACAGTAATAGCAATAAAATTTGTAAATCATATACCAAATAAAAACAATAGATTTGTAAATTATATACTTAATAACATGCAATATAAATTATCCAAATAGAATAATGAATACAAAAAACAGAAATACAGAAAGTATATTCAATATTGTATATATAGAGTTATATATATATATATATATATATATATAATATTATTTAAGTAACGATTCGGGTTGATTTTTTCAGGGCTCAATCCGTTTACCGAACCGCAAATAGCGAATTACTATTTTTCTAAACCATTACCAAATTATGAGATCTGAAAACCGAATCAAACCATACGAATCGGATTGGTTCAGACTGAATTGACGGATTATTTGCTCACCCTAAATTACTTACGTCCTACCCATCACAAAAACTTCCTTCTTAACTTACCCAATCAAAACTTTACATCAAAACTTTACATTTGTATAAAACTTTAAAAAAATAAAAATAAAGGTAGGTCATTGGGTCATTTTTCTGGTCATTCCCCGCGTCTTAAATGGTATAGATTCTCTCTCTCCATGACTCCATAACTTTCTTCCCTACCTCCATCCAAAAACCACAATATTTATCTTTCTGTTTGTGGAGAAAAACTTCCTTGCACTCAGTTACACTATGCAACGAGCGCATCCAACTGTTCATTTATAGACGCGTGTTCATTTATAGACGCGTGCAACGACCGCATCCAACTGTTCATTTATAGACGCGGATGGGTGTATTACACGAACGGTCCAAATGCGTCCACCGGGTGCAAGGAAAATCCTCATGTTTGTGAATGTTATTTTTCTCTTGACTTTAACAACTATTCTTTTCTTTACATTAAGATCAGCTTTCAAATTCTCAACCACTTTCATCAACTCCTATTCTCTGGTCGCCTCAACACCACCACCACCTAACAAATCAATCATATTCACCACCTTATATCTCGTAAGTGTTACGGTTACAAATGTACAAAAATAGCTTTACACGATAATAGATTTTGCATAATAAGGGTGAGACCCCATCATATTCATAGGGTACGCCTCCCAATCCTAAAGTCATCCAACAAAAACCAAAGCAAATTTCCTGCTAAAGAAGATAACACGATATAACACCATTGAAGTTCAGCAAGATACAGACAGCTTGAAGGCAGCTTTTCATCTTAAAATGTTACAATTTAAAAGAGATACAGATAATTAGACAGACAAGCCTTCTCATTCTTAATTTTTTTATAATAATAAAAAAAAAAAAAAAAAAACACAAACAGGAGTCGTCGTCAAGTCAGCCATCCGTTCTATTATTTAATACAACATCCGTGGAGTTGTAAGCAGCATCAGCCGAAGAGGTGTCAATATCATTCAGACCCAACTCCTCATTCTGGTCCCAAGACCTCTCATATTCCTCAACTAAGCAGTACCAGTATAGTTAACATCAGTAGATAATCAGTACGAATACAGGACATAGCACCAAATAAAGATGGGAGTGTAATGTATTATTGCAAGAGGAAACACAGTTAATAGGTAAATGAGGTGTCAATAGCATCGTGAGCAATTTACATAAAAATAAATTTTTTTGTCTGTATCCCACAAATTTTTATGCACTCCTACCCTCTTCTCTCAAGTGTTCATTGTAAAAAGATTAATAATATCCGATATATCTACTGATATTTCTCTACTATCAGATCATAAAGAGTAACTTTTCTCAAACACATTTCTGAGATTTTTTATTTTCCTTCCTGAAACCTTTTTTACCAAATTAATAGAACAATTGCTTACATCAGCTTGATCCACCATATGCAGTTGCTATTGGTCAAAAGCATCTCAAGTTCATTCATATAGATTACATTTAGTCTCACGGGAGAAAAAGACTCACAAGTTAACTGATAGTCATCTTTAATATCGTCGGTCACCGGTGCCACAAAAGAATTTGCTAGGGCATCATCGATAATTAAAGTCCAAGGCGCTTCCAAACTCAGAAGCTGTAGAACATCACAGGTTTGCAAATAAAAATAAATTAATTAATTAAGAGTATGTAACAGAAAATAATAATAACTAAGAAAAAAAAAAAAAAAAAAACAGAAAATAATAATAAAGTATGTAACAGAAAAGTATACACACACAAATATATATACATATTAACCACCTAAATTTGTTAATATCCAAATAGGAGAACGGTCCTCAAAATCACATTCATTGCTCCATTTCTGGATACTCACAGGTAGTTCAAACAATCACAAGTTTACCCCATAACATTCATTTAGTCTTCACGTACAAGTGTGCAAGAGATGCATTAAATAACTAAAAGTACATTTGAAATTATTTTCACAATTTATGAACAAATGCACAAGTGCCAAGATTCAGCATCAGAACCACCAACTAAAAGAAAAAGACATAACTATTTAAACTAGATAACGAAAAAACTTCTACGGGTCTTAAATTATTATCAGACTTTGTCATCATCCCTCCTGCCTGATCTCAAGACAGTCAATCTAGCAAGCAAACTTTCTAGGCATCACATTTAAGTCATTCATTCCCAATCCATGATCTCATTTTCCTTTTTTAAAAAATTAGAAACACAATTTTAGACAATAAAAAATATCTTAGGGGAAGAGAACAACGCTAAGTGAAAGATTGGTACCATTCATATGATAATAACACAGTGCAAATGATTAGGCCAATAAATTAATTGCTACTTTTTCTATACTGTAGAAGTTCAGTCTACATGCTAATTCTATATTTGGACTTCGTAGCAAATGTCTGTTAGGTGCACCTTGTTAAGCCTTGCTCTGAAGTCTTGCCACTTGGTTTTCCTAGTTTCGTCGAGACTGTCTCCAAAGGTAAATCCATGTACTCTCTCAAGATCTGCAAATTAGTTGTATAGGACATGGCCCAATATAACAAAGAGTCATATCAAGAATAAAATTCAGTATCAGACATATCAAAAATAAAAATTGAAAAATCAATATTAGACAATAAAAACAAATACCATGAGGTTTCATCTTGATTAACCAGGCCCCCACCAACTCAAAAGTATCTTAACTAAAATGCTAATATATAAATGTAAATTAAAGAACGGAAATTTATTTCATCAGCTTAATAATATGCCAGCTACATACAAAAGTTTGCCAGCTCCATATCCTCTTTAAAAAAAAATTATAATAGAAATCTACTATCACAGGGAAATGCAAAACAGTCACCATCACTTTTTGTTGCTTAGTCTATAAAACATGAAAAATAAAATAAAATAAAGTTTACATCATCTGAAACACAAACCAAGCTGCTTTATATCGTAAGCATATGCAATCCCAATGGATGTATTAACAGTTTCACTTAGGGTTTCCAATCATAGGAAAATGTTAATGCTCTACTGCTCAATGTAATTAACCATTTGGTCCAGTGGTAACAGCTTTAACTGCCACGCATGAGAACATATATTTGAGTATGAGACAGCCACTTAATGTAGATGATGTATCAAGCCTGTATTCAATCCGTCCCTCTTAACACTTTCAGTTAATAGGAACCACAATAGTTTTTCTTTACTCCCTCCGTCTCAAATTAAATGTCCACATTTCCAATTTTGGATGTCTCAAAATAAATGTCCCATTTGAAAAGTCAAAGTACTATTTTTTGTAACATACCAATTTATCCTTCTTACAATGAACTTATAAAAAGTAAATCATCACATCATGTGGACCCACTATGGACATATTTGGTAATTCATTCTATACCAATACAATAAAAAAAATATTAAAACTCATCCTTTTAAAAAGTTAGATTCCCGAAAAGGGACATTTAATTTGAGAGGGTGGGAGTTATTTTTTGGTCAATGATGGTTGTGTCGGGCTTCTTAGAGCAACCCATAGTCCACCATGGAGCAAATGCACCCCCCTGTCCAACATCAACCAGGCAATTACCAGAAAATTCCCTTGGAGTAGGAGTCCCAAGGGGATTTGAATTCCCAACCTCCAAGATGTGAGGTGAGAGCCTTGCCATTAGCTATTCCCTTGGGCTTCGGGAACCACACTAGTTAATGACTTTAATTATAGCAACAAGTGCAAAAATATATTTTTCTTTAGGAGAATCTACTTCAACTTCAATTTATACAAAATATATTCAGAATTTAGAGGGGAAAGTTGTACTAAAGGTGGCCAATTAGACGGGAAAGTGTAACATAGGGGTCCCTAGGATTAAAGTAGCTCCTTTCAAAATTAGAAGAGAAAGAATTACCAAACTGATATACCAAGTAATCAACATCGCCTTCCACAATTTTACATAAAGGCTATGTAAAATTGAGTTTCAATTATAATAAAGGCTTTAAAGGCTATGTAAAATTGAGTTTCAATTATAATAAAGGCTTCCACAAGGAGCTAGGAGCAAGGAGCTAGCATCACAAACTCAATTTGACTCAAAAACACTGGTTCTCATGATGGATACTCATAGATAATTTAATAGTTTTTATGATAAAAACTAAATTTGGGATAAATTTTTAGTGAGATTTGTGGAGAACATTAATAGGAGGATTTAGGAACAATAGGACTACAAGTTAAAAATCCGAAGATGATTTTACGAATATAAAAAATGAGGAGCAGTGGAGAAAAAACAATAACTTGCACCCGCGAACTGCCCGTGACTTTCACCTATGCTAGGAGACAAAGCAAGGAAAGATAAATTTTAGGGTTTTCCCATATACACTAGGAATTAGAATATTTAGGAGTTATGTTTATTTTAGTATATTTGGCAATTCTTGAATAATTAATAATTAGAATTTCTTAGGATTGCCTATGATTTTGCTTTTTAATCTGGCCTTATGTAATAGGTTTCATGAGTTTGGATGATTATTTATTATTGAGATTTTGAATATAGAGATTTCTTCTCCATAATTCTTTTTCATCTTCCCAATTCTTTTCCTCTCTCTTCTTCTCTCTTCCCTGGTTCTACATCAATAAGGTATATGAGCATTGTTCGTCCTGCATCAGTTGCCATCATCAGAGCACCAGCCATTCTGCATAAAGGAGCCTACACAATATGTCTATATATAAAATATATGTAACGTAAATAAAATATAATTCATATAGTTAACGAGTGCTCCTAAAGTGTACCACAAGGGGCTTTTACTAATCAAACTGAAGGGAAATCCTTACTTATACAACATAAAAGGCCAACCTACTTTTGCAACAGTCTGTTGGGCAGTAAAGAGAGAAAAATGCTAAAATGGTTGTGAAAATTGATAATGATTATATTAACTAAAAGTTGAAGTTCAGGTATTTTAATTAGCTTTAAGCATTCCAAATCTGCAACTACACTGATGAAGAAAGCAAGAGATGCCCACACTAAGGGTTGGGACGACTGAACCAAATTATCTGTTGGTTGAGAAGGAAAAGAATGGTCAGCAAAATGTGTGTGGGATTCTCAGCAAAATGTGTGTGGGATTCTCAGCAAAATGTGGCAGGGATTGGTTCGAGTGCTTGACCGAAAGCATGACCATGAAACAGCAGTGGAGGAAGCCCGGTGCTTTAACCGGGTGCCTGTTGAAGAATGATCCGACAACTCATAGGGAATTAAGGGAACCAACCAGAACCATAGCGAGAGCGATTCTTCATAGCACAGTACTATCTCTCTCTCTCTAGTTGAGTGGGGGCAGCTGCCTCCACTGGACCTAACATGGCTCTGCCACTGATCATATGAAAAATACAAAAAGGTTAAAAAAACCAGAACCATGGTAGAAAAAACAAATACAGCAGCCTAGCCTGTGAGAAACTACTAAGAACAATAATTAATTTTAAAAACAAGTATGTGTGATACCATCAGTATTTTTTATCCCCGTAATAGATTCTCAGTCTCTTAAGGAGGTAGGTCGAACGAAATCCAGGGCAAGAAATACAACTGTTTATGTAATGTTGGTTACAATTATAAAATAAATTAATAATAAGTTACAGGAATTAAAGTGACCTTCACTTAAATAATAGAAGCTGCAGCTTGACAATGAGAAAAAAGGCAGATGAAGATGCTCACTTTCACTAATTTTTGCAATCAAGCCTTCAACAGTTGTCACAGCTCCACCCAATGTGCCACTGGTCAGCTCCAAGTCAAGCTCTGGGACTCTCACACTAGCAGTATCTGACTGATGTATTTAAATTAACATTATCAGAAAATGCATTTAAACCTCATAAAAGGAGACCAACTAAGGATTTATGGCCTGTTCTCAGAGAACTAGAAAACAGTTTGAAAATTCATTTGGTTGATAGTTTTCTCCAGACTTTTCCTAAAACCGAGTTGAAAGAAGGCCTCATTTTAAAGAACTCTCTTTTGTCTTTTTTTTTTTATAGTTCTCTGAAGTTCTAGACTTCTTACAAATTGTTCCTATTTGTTTGATCAGAAATGCAAAAGGAAAAGGGAAAGATATAAAGATCACCGTTGGAAATTAAATTATGTCCCCCGTCCCCCTTTCACAGAAAAGGGAGAATGTATTTATTGGATCCGTCAGGACTGACGGGGCTTGAACCCGCAGCTTCCGCCTTGACAGGGCGGTGCTCTGACCAATTGAACTACAATCCGAGGGAAATAGGGGATAACTGACCCAAACAAACCTCAAGTTCCCAAGGTCAATACTGAACGGTACGCTTAAATTTTAAAAAGCAGCATTCGAACGTCCAGGATACAGGAACATGGCCCTTAAATTTTATCCAAATGTAATCCACAGGAAATTGGTTGTTTTTTGAGACATGGGAGAATGTGATGTAGAACTGCTAGTTTCATCTATATTTCTTGTTTAAATAAAGCAAGTGAAACATCTCCAACATAGCTTGCAATCCAAGTGTTGACATAAATACCGTAGCTCAGAGAATAAAAAAATAAATAATCTTTGTTGTAAGAGTTGTTAGCCACCAGCAACTCTATAATTTAAATTATTAACAATCAAAATTAACTCTGATTTATTACGGGAACAACCAAGACCAAATAGCCAATCTAAATACATAAAAATGATTTCTACGGTATTAAATTCCTCAATGTAAAATTGAAGCATTCATAAAATACAAGGTGGTTTTGTTAAAAGGGTTTGACCTAATTCAGTTTGAATTTTAAATAATCAAATTTTTACACATATTTTTTCAGCTACCCACATCTGTTTGATTAAGCTAATTGAATAACCTATTTTAAGTACACACCTATTAATAATCAAACTTTGACAAACTAAAACTAAAGCCTATGTAAGCCAGCTTGTAGACCGAAATATAAAACATTAATAAAATTAGGTTGTATATAGGTTAATCAAGTTCAAGATACAAAATACAAACTAATAAATATTATTGTATTCTAGTTCTTCATATGTCATCTTTTAAATACCTTAAAAAAAAAAAAAGACAGATATTATTCGGATACATCCTGTGATGTAGGACACAAGAGCAGTCTTAAATAGAAAAAGACGTATAGAATTCAAAGGCTGAAAGTTCAAAGAACTAGGGCTAAAATTTGGAGTTTTGATAGTAAATAAAAATAAAAAAAAATAAAAATAAAAAAAATTAAAAAAAAAACGGAAAAGAAATAGAATAGAGCTACCTATTGGAATCACTCCAACAGCGCCTAGGTATCACACCTAGAGAGGGCAAAACTGATGTAGGACACAAAAGCAGCCTTAAATAGATAAAGACGTACAGAATTCAAAGGCTGAAAGTTCAAAGAACTGGGGTTGAAATTTGGAGGTTTGATAGTAAAAATGTAGAAAAACAAAGGGAAAAGAAATAGAATAGAGGCTATAGAGCTACCTATTGGAATCACTCCAACATGGCCTAGGTATCACGCCTAGAGAAGGCCTCACCCCCTTAGAATTTGTGAATCACTCACAAAGAAATCTCAAAGATATTTTTATTCATTCATTCACCGCCGCATCAGAGTTACATAGTATCACTTTTATAATGACTGATGACCCTTCCCATAATTGAGGTAATCAATAGTTGACTCTAGCATAATATAAGTAATCACCCCATAATTGACGTAATCAATATTTGACTCTAGGATTACCTCCCAATGAAGGCAATCAATACTTGACCCTTAGATTACTCCATAATTGAGAAAATAAATACTTACCTAATAACATAATTAAAGTAACTAAAAGTTGACTAACGACTCCCAATTATTTAAAACTCCATACGGACCAAAATTATCTAGCCTATGACAGCTCGAGTCTTAGAATCCTCGTTTTTGCTCCTTTTATACACCCTAAAAGATTTCTGCCATTGATCTCCATCATCCTGCTGAGCATCTATTCAGATAAGTTTTCCATATATGTTTGGTACATCTTCCATGAATTGGCATGTGACTTCAAAGTATAAATAGCTGTCAAGAGAGGGTTCACACTTTCAACTGTTAGTCATCCAGCTTTGATGGTTTTTGGATTTTATTTGTTATAATGGAAAAAGAAATAATGAAACTGGTTATATAAACTTTATTTTTTTTTAAATGTCTGCATTTTTCTCCGAAACATTATTTTACATTATTTTCAATTTTCTTCAGCAACCAAACAGAGAAAAGTTCCTGATTTTCCGAATGGCAATTAGATTGCTGCCTAAATGAAATCCCTTTCTCCCAAACATTATTTTCAATTTTCTTCAGCAACCAAACAGAGAAAAGTTCCTGATTTTCTGAATGGCAATTAGATTGCTGACTAAATGAAATCCTATCTTCCTCTTTCTCTTTCTTTGAAACTCAGCCAATAAGTTGGTATTTGGAACGAAGAATGAAGAAAGAAAATAAGTGGGGAAAATTTTGGCGACAAATGTTCAAACCGAATCAACACCTCATTTTGATAAAGAACAAGGCTTCAGTGAGGCTAGCTTTCATTCACTTCATGCAACAATTGGTTCACAAATCACTTTCAGCCCAAAAAACCAAACAATAAGAAAAAGGCATGTAAATGAGGGGCAGATCTGCATCCTTCCCAATTCCTATAGACTCGGGTTAAATTAGGCAAACTACATACAAAAGAAAATTTTACTGAGTTGAACATAAAATAAGCCAAGACATACCTTTATCACATCACGGCTTAGATCATTAATGTTCTTCACACAAACTGTAATTTTCTTTCCTTCTGCAGGAATACGACCACCAGGTTTCAACTGCAGAGAAAAGCATGACACCATCAAATTATTGAAAAGAAAAGCATTATCCAGTTCTGGTCCTGACATGGGAGGGTGTCGGGAACGGAGGACTTGAGACAGTCCAAGCCTTCCGTATTTCATAAAGTGGCTGCTCTGAGGCTCAAACTCACACCAGTGGAATGTGGCACCGATGCTCAAGAGTTTTACTGTTCAACAAAGCAACGTCCCTCCATTTATGAAAAAGAGGAAAGCAAAGAATCAGTATGGCATTACAAACCTCAGAATTACGGTAACCACAAGCATCACAAGAGGATGCCATGACAATTACTTCCTGGAAGTACGGAATCTCTGTATATAGTTAAGCTTGACAAAAATCATGCATAACCATACTAAGCATATATAGTAGAGAGAATTAAGGAAAATATGGTTTCCACAAATTGTAATACTTGAGATAAAATCTGACTCAACAATACAACTACTCTGTTTAATATTGTACTTCAAGTCCTCAACAATAAGCATTTACTGACTAATTGAAGAACTACTAGTCCAACTTTAACAGAAGTACATGCATAAAAGATCAGGGAAACAAAATTTGTATCATACTTTCCAGTTCCCAAGTTCTCCTCGGAAACAGACGAAGTTGGCAGCACACTTGCCACAAAAAATAAAATCTCTTATAAGTAGACAGCATATATGTTGAAGTAGGGCAACAATAAATAGATTCAGGCAAAAAAAAAAAAAAAAAAGCTAGTTGTGATAGAAAAATACTCTTGCAACACAACGCAAATAACTAACAACCACCATCTCCTTCCTCATTTGCTTGCTCTTCAACTAGAACTTTTATACAATGAATTTCTTGACTTGACTTGATTCTCTGTGACTACAAAATTCAGAACATTGGTAACCATCTCAAAATCCTCAACATCATTCTCCTCAGCTTATTTAGCCATTTAACACCCTCATTCTCTTGTAAATGAGTTTCTCCCTCTCCAACTTTAAGAACTCTTTAATTACTGATATTCTATTCAGGTCATCCTCTCAATTGGTCAAGGGTATAAGGATTTAACTATGGGCACAATGTCAACATATGTCTCTGAGATACATTCTCCATAAAAAAAAAATTCAGCCTTTTTAAGTGTTTAGTTGAGTGTAAAACATCTCATTTAGTTTTTTAGGAGAATAAAAATAGCTTAGATACCTAAATGGACTTGCTGAATTTTCCTTGGTAACCATTCCAAATATAAGCAAGCTGTTTAAAGGCTTATACAACAGAAATGAATGCAAGTACTTAAAACAATACACATGCACATAAGATTGCTTAGTTCATATAAACTCGAAACTTATGTTTGTATACAAACCTATTAACACCTAAAGATATATGCAAATGCATGCAACTAGTATATATATAGACATGTACACTGACAACACGTGTGCCTGTATTTGAGGTATATATTTGTTATGTACGACGGAAAGAAACAAAAAGCCTTGTTATGTATGCATATGCATGTTTGTACGCAAGCCTATAAACACCTATAGATATATGCAAATGCACACAACTTGTATCTATATAGACAGGTACACTCACAACATGTGTGCCCATATTTGGGGCATATACTTGCAATGTATGCATGTATACATGCCAATACATTTCCCTACACATTTGCACTATGAGTGCCTTTATGTGCAAGCTTGTTCTATATACATTAACTCCTGTGTATTTATCTGTTTACATGCATGTCTGTACCTTGATTCTAAAGCACAGATCCACCAAGTGTGTGTAAATTTTTCAGTTTTGCTTTTTCTCTTTTTCTTTTATTTAAAAAAATAAAAAAAGAGATATCATTAAGGAAACGGAACTTACAAAGACAGAAGGATGATATATCCACCTAGCTCTAGAATGGGGCCAAATTACCACTCTGTAAAAAGAGAACATACAACCCACAGCCCCAACAACTAATCCTCGTGTAGGAATACCCTTTATTATTTAGCCCGACAGCCTGACTGCATCATGGGATACCCATATATTCCCATTATCAAAAGCAAAAGGCATACATGGAACTTCAAGCATGAGGTTACCAGAGACGGATCAAAAAATGTCATAATGCATCTTCCCCTAAATATTAGATTCAATGTTCACATGGTGAAAAGAAACCTGTGATAAACAAGGAGATCATATTACAACCAAAAAAAGAAAGGAACTAAATCAATACATAATTTTTTAGACTTGGTTATTCGAAAGTAACAAGGTCACCAAAAGAAATGGGAAAATAAAGGAACAAAACTATAAGAAAAAACATTTTCAAAGAATTTGACTACTGTAGCAAGCAGAAACAGTTGACTAATAAATGAATACTTGCAAAGAGATGTATATATCATGTGTCCCTGATATTGAGAATAAAAAGAAACATAACAGTCACACTGCCATGTTACTTCTGAATAAAGCGAAGAAAGAGTAAAAAGGATACTGGTGGCAAACATTCTAGTCTCACACCTGGCAGCACAAGCTCCACAAGTAGATGGGAAAGTCATAACCTGTAAGTAAAAGAGTGAAACAAATTATATAAATTTTAATAAATAAATATGAAGAACTTCCATCTGGAAAGATAGTGTACCTCTTCTGGTGCAGAGTATCTAAACAAAGCATCAGCAATTTCCACACTATTTCCCTGAGCAATAGCACGATGACCAGCCGCAGCTCCTATTGATCCATGTGGTTCTTTATCAATTTGAAGTGAAGCATTGTCTGTTTCCTCTGGTGATGCTTCATCACCAAGTTCTCCCACCTGTGATGGGTCAACAAGATACCCCAATGACGCTTGTTGCTCAGGAGTTCGCTCATAAAACTTTATTGTCAGCGATGGATCCGGAGATGGAGCAAACCTGTTACAATTAGTGTATTCTCTTTAAACTATTGAATAAAGTAGTGGTTCGAGTTAATTAAACAAAGACAAACCTCGTTTAGAGTATAAAACCCAACACATCAGTAAAAGAGTAAAATATACAAATAAGATGCGACTATAATAGGAACACTAGAGAGAAGACTGATTGAATTCGATTGCCCAAGAGAAGGCATGGGAATATTAGCTTTAGCAGGAGAAATCTTCCTTTCTTTTCATAGGGATGGGAGAAGGATATCATTTCTACAAAGTAAATATTATTCCATTTTAACCATCATCCAACCTTGCGCATAATCTCAATGAAGGTACAGTGGAATTTTAAAGAAAAGTCTCTTACGGATTCTCAATGAAGCTGTTGCCAGCAGGATCATCAAGAATAAAGGTAAAGGATGAATCTCCAGTTGCACAAGCTTTCAATCTTAACAAGAACTTGTCTATTGCTTCAGCAGTCTGAGGATCCACTTTCTGAAATGCCCAGATATACACTGTTAGGACACCAAGTAGGAGGAGAAGTAAGAGGAAAAGAAGCATGAGAATTCAAATTAAATATACCTTTCGCTCTTCTTGAAGGGCCTGCAATTCATTCAGAGCTCTAACCAATATCCCTTCAACCTAGAACAGAAAGTCAGAGAATAGATTATATGAAAGAAGGGGAAACACACTTTTATTTATCAACAAGAAGATGGGAACAAAAGCATTAACATATAACATGTTAACACACAATAAAAATATATTAAAAGTTCCAAGAGGTTTTTTTTTTTTTTTTTTTTTAACAAGTAAAAATGTATTAGAAAGCATTCAAAAGGGGAACGAGTCCCCCAAAAAAAAAAAGATACAAGAGGTTTTACACCACAAATAAACTGTTACAGTGAGGCATAAGGTGCTCGAGCTGTTCTAAATCTAATGCATGATAGACCAACAAGGCAGAAACCTTGAAGTATATATTGAACCAGCTTTAATTCCCTGATTCAGCCAGGCCTAAGCACAAAAACTATTTTCAAAAAGCTACCCATAGAAACCATATTACCTCAGACATCTCTTGGGTCAAATGATAATATTTTAACATGATTGAATATTTTTATTATGAATGGAAAGTAAGATTTCATGCATATGGTGGACCAGAGAAAAAAATTATAATTATGGCAATCTACACAACTTTTTATGAAAATGTCTAACCCAATGTTCTTTCACTTGGAATCATTAGTGAGCTTAGGTTCATTTATATTAATTTATGAGTAAAGGAATGCTAAGTGTAGCCGCGATTGCACAAGCACAGCCCTTGGATCTGTGCGCCTCACTGTGGGACCCACAAGATCCAAGGGCTGTACTTGCACAGTCGCAGCTGTGCTTAACACAGCTCTTATGAGTAACACCAGGAGTTCCAAATGAACATCCATCACGAATTCACGATTTTGATTATAAAAATGTCATTCGATAGAACAAACCATACTAACAAATTATAATAATAATTTAATGATAGAGATAACAGGATCTCATTTACGACTCACTATCCTGTCGATAGTCTCAAAGTGTTGAATAGGCTAACGATGAATCCCCACTTTTAAGGTAATTTTTCTAATGGTCTATTCAAAAATATTTTTAATTTCAAAGGTCCAATGATTTCAAATTGGATCAAATGTTGAACTTTTTGAATCAATTGTGTTTGCACATATACATAATATATATATATATATACACACACATATCATAATTATCATAAGTATTACATTTTTGCTAAATATATATTTTACATATTATGTTTTCTTTTTCCATTTAAATTAATGATCATCAAATTACTATATTTTTTCGATACATTGTTGGTTTATAAATTTAGGTTTTATAAAGTTTTAAAAAAAGTGCGCATAAAGTTTAGTGTGTGTCTGTGTGCAGCGCGTGCATATATAAAGTTGGTGGTAATGCAAGGAATTTCTAAACCGAGTGTGTGTGTGTGTGTGTGTGTGTGTGTGTGAAACTATGTACGCACACATACAAATGAAAGAAAAGAGGAAACTTTTTCCTCTATTACTTAGCCTCCTTAACACCCTCCAAAGCAATCCATTGACACGTCAAAATCTAATATCTGAGAGGACAAGATCACATAAAGTTCCTCGCAGTACAAGAAAAGAGTACCAGTTCAAACGTCAAACCAGTCAACATGATTGTAGGATTAAAAACATCTTGAAGAAAAGGATATTCATAAACAAAAGCAGAAATTAGGATCTTGTTACTGAATAGAAAAAGAAATTATATTCAGGATACAAAGGAGATACCGTTGACAGAATTCCACGCTGAGCCTCTGGAGGAATCTCAAAATCCAGCTCAAGAATCTGCAAATATAAATAAAACAGCAAGATAAAATGCAGACTCCATACATTATGATAACAATTCAAATGTCTTACTCAAAACAAAACCAATGATAATACTTTGTGCATAGAGAGGTCAAATGAAGGAAAAGTGGGTCATCAGTCATAAATGACAAACATGTACCACATCAAAACCTGTAAGGTCAGGAAAGTAAAAGTGGAAGAAATGCAAGAAATGTCCATCAACAACATGAAAGGAACCTGTGGTCAAACTTCTGCCACTAAATTCCATCCTAAACCTTGAACCAACACTTCAATTGTTTTTCCTTTTTACTTTTTTCTTTTGGGTGGGGTTGGGGGTGTTAGAGGGACGCAGGAAAAAAAAAATACGTAGTAATAAGAAGTACGATTATTCAAGGAAGTGTTGTTATCTTGCTCTCAAAATATTGATAATCACCATTTATAAAATCTAATTTTGCCTTTCTTCTTAAACAATAACAATCATCATGTATATACAGCCACTTTGTCTGAATAAAATTTAATGCCGATTCTGTCCCAAGTCCACCATCCCAGCACTACAAGGACGACTGAGTAAATGACCATTAAGGTTGATATTTAATCTGATATCAAAATAGGTGCCCGCATACATTTTTTTGACGTCAAATAACTCAGATATACGTTGGCATTCAATATCTTGTACTTGAATCATGGTATGTTTATACAGTGATCTGTAATTTGTAAGATGCTAACGTCTGTTGCTCCAACTAAGCCATATAAGTTAGAAGTGACCATCCATCTCTATCAACTACTATACGCGAAAAAGCTCAAGAGGATGATGCTTTTCTTAAGAGTTGATTTCACGAAATGATACATACATACATATATATATATATATATATATATATACATACATATATATATATATATATATATATATGTATAGACAGAGAGAGATATAGATATGTACTTTATATCAGCAATAGTAATATTCAATTGCCTCTGCCAACAAGGAAAAGAAAAGCTTGGTTCAACGACATTTTAGTAAGGCCTACCAACACCATAGCAGGAGGCAAACATTCAAACTATGATCTAGAGTATCAGGTGATCAACAGCCAGAGTTCATATCATAAGAATATAGAAGTAGTGAAACATCTATCATGTCTCACGATAAAAATAATTATAAGAAATATTATAATAGCAGAATTCAGTGATAATAAGATTTCTGTATTCTCATAAATTGATAGACCAGTTTAGCAAGTAGAGTTAAGGAACATGCAAAAAAGAGAGTATAAGTTTGTTAATCATGTAAACTTAAGGCCAGTCATTGTAATCTTCATGTTTCAAGATGAGGCAGTAGCAAGTGAAGTTGGTTTCCAAGGAAAAACAAATCTAGACCAGCAATCAAATTATGCAAACATTCCCATCATTGTTCTAAACTTCCAACCAACACCAAAAGACTCTCATTGCCTAGGGCATTCTATAACAACACGCCTACAGGATAATTAAAAGAATCTTTAGAAAATTGTAGATGAAAAAAATGTAAATGAACAAATGTGTCAAATGGAAGTCCATGTTTTTTGGGAAAAGGAACTTGATAATGTACCTTAATAGTGGCAGTTTCAGATTTCACTACTTGTCGATTGAGCATCTGCATAGAAGAACCCATCAGTGTAACAATCCTATTGGAAATGCAGTTTTCCTCAAAACTTTAAAAACAATGAAGTCATTAACAACAATTCAAATACTTTGCATATTATTTATTATAAAGAAGCAAATATAATTACTGATAATGATGATTACAGCAGCAGAATGAACGATATCAATAGCAACAGAAAGCAACATAGAAACATAGGACAGTAACATGGTAAAACATTAAGCTTTCTGTGGTGGATTAGTTGAAAGACTAAGAAAGATAAATTTACGAAAGAGCTAAAAAGAAACTCCCGAGAGTAATCCAAAGCTGGAGATCTAAAGGAAACTGCATAAGATTGCCACATCGTCCAAAAGGAGGCAGTCTGCGTCAGCAGGAAACATTTAGCTAATGCATGTTACAAATGCAAAAAGCCAGACAGAGACCAAAAAATCATAAGAATAGTTAGCAAGAAGGTAGTTAAGATAAGATCTTCAAATGAATACTTTTGACACAACTTAATCAAATGTCTACATACATTCAGCCGCCAAACTAATTCAGAAAAGGCACTGAATTTACTAAGGAAAATGAGACATCTTGCTGTCCATATTGACAACATAGTATGACAGGTAACAATGAGAAAGAAATATGGGGTTGAACTTTCATCTTGCTAAGGTGTAGATAAAGGACTTGACCATTCTTAAGTCATGTGGTTCAGTCGTCCCAACCCTTAGATACAGAAATAGAAACAAATCATAGACAAGTGATGTGTCTTGGCTAGAGCTTTTTTTATATAACCAACAACATGAGTTCTAACATAAGTAATATTAAAAGAAAAAAGTTCGAAAGACAGGAAATGATAGAATTAGAAATGAACATATTTGAACTGGCACCACTGGAGATAAAATTAGAGAAGATCGATTAAGATGGTTTCGACATGTGCAAAGAAAAACACTAAGTGCGCTAGTTAGGAAGAGTAACATGGTTCACGTTGAATGCAAGGTGAATGGGAAGACCAAAATTTAGATGAGTAGAGTTAGTAAGGAAAAATATGGTAGCATGTGATTTTGCTAAGATTGTGGCATAATGTAGAGCAGAACGGGAAATATAAGACATGTAGTTGAAGTGTTAGGAAAATGTTTTGTTGAGTTGAGGAGAGGAGAGAAGTTTCCAAGTCTCACTCTTACTCTTTCCTTCCTCTTCTTTTCTTCATTCTGCCTAAATCTTTTGTTTAATTATCAGACAAGCAAAATAATCTTAAGATGTTGAGAAAATGTTCTGAGTTTGTATATAGCTCAAAGTTTAAACAGGCAACATCATCAGCAAAAACAGTCATTGCTTTTTTCAGCACTAAACTGTTTTATTACTTTATGATAGATGACCCTTGGTTTCTTTTAAAGCCACATCTTCTTGAATAAAGAAAGGACAATTCAAAATTGTGACTTAAAAGTTACATTTCATAAAAATTTATAGCAGTCGACACAACCTTTTGATCACCTGATGGAAACTCCAGACTGTAGCAGCACCCTCGGGGCTGGAGCTCACCAGCAAATTGCACTTCATTGTTCCTACAGACAAAACAGGCAGAAAGCATTAGAAATTATTTAGGGGATACAAACTTTTTTTTTTTTGATAAATTATTTAGGGGATACAATTGACCTTCACAACCTTTTAAGGGGAAACACATTTCTTACCTCTCACCACAATGTGGGCATTCAAAGGCTGATAACAAAATCTGCAAGGAGAGAAATTTATTTCAAAAGAACCCTACTTGGATAAGTGTCCATAAATACGAGCTACCCTTAAAAGTTAACACAATGTAACATTGACAACAGACATTTTTTTTTTTTTTTTTTTTTTTTTTTTTTTGTGGGGGTTTCGTGATTGTCTAAGCTTAGCCTTTTTCATGAAAATCAGTGGAACTGTTTCTAATAGAAATAATATTAACCCTAAACTTCAAACAACGAATATTTGGACAATACCCAATAGAAGATGGAATAACATAAAAGCATACCTTTCTGAAGTGCGGAATTGAAGTTAATAAAAACCTTGTTATCCCCTGTTAACAACAGCCATCGTGTGTGAGACAAATTTCACAAACAACATAGCCTTCCCGTATCTCAAACAACTTAGCCTTACAATATCATTATTTTAAAAGGAAAAAAAAAAGAAGTGATGAAAGTTTAACGAGCAAAGTATATAGTAAAATCAATCTCAGCCAGAAAACAAAATAAAATAAGCAACAATTTGTTGAGTTACACAAATTACTTGAACCGAGGGGTGAGCGACTTCATATACAAATATAATCAATTAATTCGTGTATTTTGACATGAAATTAGAACAGGATGTATAAGACATGTAACATACACGTAGAGAGAGAGCATACATTTTCGCGGCAACGCATGCAAAGGCTTTCGACCTGGTAAAGAGGAGCATCACTGGCGTCTGTAGAGACAGCTTCGACCACTGACCTCACATCCACGATTTGGTCTCTAGTTGTTTCCATTGTAGTAGTAGTATTATTATTATTATGAGATTGTTGCCTATAAATTTAAAAGAAAAACTAGTGTTTCTGTAAACTTAGGGTTTCTGCTTTTAGCCGTTGAGTGGTGGTGGGCGAGGAAGGTATGCATAGAAACAAGAAGGTGCGAGAAGGGCCTGCAGTTCTCGTAAAATATTTATTACTTATAAGTCCGAATGACGGATGCATTCACTCGTGCCGTCTTAGCTCAGCTGGTAGAGCGCGTGGCTTTTAACCACGTGGTCGTGGGTTCGATTCCCACAGACGGCGCAAGTTTTTCACAAATGATTCATTTATTATTTTTAAAAATTAAAGTTTTTTCACAAATGATTCATTTATTATTTTTAAAAATTAAAGTTTTGTCTAACTGTATCTCCAGAAGTTTAATGACAATGTAATGTAAGTTGTTGATGCCCAGTTAATAAGAAGGTCACGGATTTTTTATTTCTTCATATTATATCATTTCTAAAAATTTTATTTCCTTCCTATTATCACTCCAGCAATACAAAAAGGCCTCAAATTTTTTATTTCCTTCCTATTATCACTCCAGCCAATATAAAAAGGCTCCAAAATTTGTATTTCCTTATATTATAACTTTCAAATTTTTTTATTTGTTTATATTATAACCTTCCTAAATTTGTTATTTCCTTCTTATTATTAAATTCTAACCAATAAAGTGGCTCCCATTTTTTTTTTTCCCCTTATATTATAACTTCCTTAAAAATTTTATTTGTATTGATTGTTAGACCCTAACCAATAAAGATTTAATAGGGGCCAAAAGATTTCTATCATTATCTTACCTTCTTTCTCTTTTTTCTCTCTCTCTCTCTCTCTCTCTCTCTTCATTCACGTTTCTTTTTTCTCCAGAATTTGTCAAATTTTTCATACTCTTATTTGAACTTTTATCTTCTTTTTTTTCTTATTTCTAACATATTTTTCTTCATTTTTCATTAAATATAAGTTGTATAACTCTAAGATAAATTATCTGTGACAAGAAAGATTAATTGCATTGACTATATATATATTATATATTAAAAGGCCCCTTCTATATTTTTCGCGTAAGGCCTCAACTTATATTGAGCCGCCCTGCAGTGGTCACGGGTCCTTTTTTTTATTTTTGAGGAAGATGACACTCTATTAATTAGAATTTGGCATTTTTCTCTTGAGATGATTAAGATATATATATTCTTTTTTAATTGACAAAAATCATACACACCCATTTATTTTCATGGAATTCAAACTCTCACAATTTCTTTAGGAAGTAAATGAAATACCATTTGGCTTATTTAGATGCTACTGCCTTTAGTCATATAAATATGTTTCTATATAATTTTTAATACAGATTTTAAAAAATTAACAACAGTTAATTGACCAAATTTATCCCCAAAAAAATGACCAAATGCATGGTATATGTTTTCACAATAATAATAGTTCATGCAAAAATTGTTCAAATATTTTTAAGATGATATCAAATTGGTCTTTTTTGTATATATAATTTAGTATTATTCTTATTAGAGAAAATTTCTGTTCACTAAAAATTCAAATTATTATTAATAATAATATTATAAGTTTCCATCACTAATCATTAAACAATGAACTTCTAGTTATTATGTTTAGGCAATTATCTGTCAATAATTTTTTTTAAAAACAATCAGGATGGTCAATATTTGTTGCTTGTATAAACATTAAATTCAACTCTGTTTTAGGAATATCAAAATTCAAACATTTAATTTTAAATAGATTTTTTTTTTTCTAATTAAAAATTTAGATGTTTCAATTTGTTCAACGCTTGTTGTCATCATCATCATTTCGTATGAATTGAGTCGACGTATAAATTTCCTCTCTCCAATTGCATCCCATATTATTTTTTGTCATCTTAATACCTTGTATTACAATATTCCTTGTTTGATCGTTGCATCTCTATATCTTCTATGTATGTGTTCTTTAGTCTCCAATATATGTGTGCAAACTTTTCAATCGACCCTATTATTATTATTGTACATAATTATACAAAAGGATTTGTAGGGGGGCGCCCTCTATTTCACATTTATTTTTTGCTGATGATTCTATTATTTTTTGTCAAGTATCTACTACAGAAATTGAAACTTTAAAGCAGACCCTTCAAGAATGCGCCTATGCAATTTTGATAAATCTGCTATTTTCTTTTCCAAGAATGCGCCTATGCAATTAAGGTGTACTTTGAGTCATCTATTGGGTTTGACGGAGGAAGGATTTTAGACTAAATATTTAGGGATGCCAGCGATAATTGGGCGATCCAAATATGATGTTTTCAAGTTTTTACTTACTCGAATGAAGGATCGTCTCGCGTCTTGGAGGCAACATACTCTCTCGGATGGAGGTAAGGAGGTTTTGATTAAGGCGGTGTTGAATGTTATTCCTACCTATATTATGTCTGTTTTTCGGTTATCGCATAAGTTGTGTCTGGAGCTAATGAAGCAGGTGAGGCTATTTTGGTGGAGGAAGCATGGTAAGCTTAACTATGTGCATTGGGCTTTATGGAATTTACTTTGCCATAGTAAGAAGGATGGTGGGCTCTGTTTTAGAGATCTTGAAGCTTTTAACTCAGCGTTGTTGGCGAAATATGCTTGGAATTTCCAGGTAGCTAAAACGGGTATGGCATTTCAGTTTTTTAAAGCGAAATATTTTTCCTCCTGCTCTTTTCTTGAGGCACCTCTGGGTTCAAATCCATCTTGGGCTTAGCGCAGTATTTGGTCGTCTCAGGAGTTGTTTCAGAGAGGATTACGCTGGGTGATGGGAGATGGTGTTTCTATCCATATTTTGAAGGATAAATGGATCCCTGGTATTTCTATGCCTTTAGGGTCAAGGGAGTCCGCAGATGGTTTTGACAGGGTTGCTGACTTGATGGATGGTAATTCAAGAGAGTGGCGTATGGATATTTTGGGGCAATTGTTTAATGCTTTAGAGATTCATCATATCTCACACATCGTTGTACAGCAAGGGTCATTGCCACATACCTAAATTTGGGAAGTTGAGCCTTCAGGAAAGTTTACTGTTAAGTCAGCCTATAATTTAGCCATGTTGCTCTCTATGTCTTCGAGTACGCGCGATTTGCTGAGGGCGGATTACCAATTGAGTTCTAATACTCGATGGAGTGCATTGTGGAAATTTAATTTGCCTTCCAAAATTAAGCATTTTATTTGGAAATGCTATTACGTGTTAATCCCGTTAGGGTCTGAGCTTGTTCGTCAAGGTCGTTTGGACAATCCGGTCTGCCAGCAATGTGGGGTGGATGTGGAAGATGTTAGCCATATTTTTTTCCGCTGTTATCATTCGGTGCAGGTATGGAAGTTGTCCCCCCTTCATTCGGATTTTCTTGCACATCCCTCATCTTTTTTTCTTGAATGGTGTGATGTAATTACGGGTGTATCAGTGCTTTCCGAGGAGCGTAAGTCTATTCTTGTGGGTCTCGCTTCATTTTGTCTATGGGCGATTTGGAAGGCTCGAAATAAAATAATTTTTGAGCAGACAGAATGGAATCCTTTGGTGGTGGTAAATTTGGCCTTGACTAGATTTTGGGAATTTGTTAATGTGCACAAGAAATGCCAACTAGTCATTCATCCTTCGAAGCGGACTGATGCCCCTTCCCGCTGGAGCCGGCCAGTGCATGGTGTTGTTAAATGTAATGTTGATGCTTCTTTCTCGAAGCTTTCTCAGCTGGGAGGTGGAGGTGCAGTGTTTCGGGATTCCTCAGGTTTGGTTCTTCAAACGGTAATTTTTAAGTCTTTTGTGTCTTCGTCCGTGCTAGAGTCGGAGTCTTTTTGCTTTAGCCGTGCTGTCTTTTGGGCCAGAATGTTTAAATTTCCGATGGTTTGCTTTGAGTCGGATTTTAAAAAGGTGGTGGATACAATTGGAGGAGTTTGTTCTAGTGATGTTTCAATTGTTTCTTTAGTCTCTGAGATCAGACAAGAGCTTCAATATTTTTCTATTTTTTCCATTTTGCATGTCCGGCAACAGGGTAATCGAGTGGCGAATGCTCTTGCTAGGCTTTCAAAGATTAGTACGTCTACGGATTTGGTGCTCCAGTCACTGCCACTGCTGATTTGTAAGCTTGTGGAGCTGGATCTATTGGATGTTGCGAGCCTGCGTCTTAGTTTTGTTGTTGTTTTTGTGGGTTGGTGTTGCCATGAAGAAGGAAAAAAAAAAAAAAATAAAAAATTTGCAGCAAATTATTAAGTATTTGTTTAAACTCAATTTTAATTAAATAGTTTTTCACAAAAGGTTAACCAATCATGCGCTAAAGAATTACTGCTTTGAATGTTCTGCTACGAAGAGTATTGGCTTATTGGTTTGTCCCTCATAAATATATATTTTAAAGAATGCAGAATACAAACAATTGTTTCCACATAACTAAAAAAAAAAATAGTTATTTGAAAACAAACAAATTTTTTGAAATTGATCTTAAAACGGTTTTGTCAACAAAACATATTTTTGCACATTAAATTTTTTTTTTTCTTTCGATTTTTAAAATAATAAAAAAAGAAAACATGTTTACATAAAAATGAGCCAAGGAATCAAGTAGGCCCTTAGCTTCCCAGATCCATAAATGTTAAAATAAAGAGATTAAAAAAGATTTATATTAGATACTTTCTTTATGTTGAGTATAGGCATTGAGATAAAAGTTCATATAAAATGTTATAAAATTATATTCAAACACTCAAATTAGAGATATGAGAAATAAAAATATAAAAAAAGTCAAAAGTTTATCATTTAACTGGTGTAGTGGTTTAAATATATAGAAATTCAGTGAATTTTGGAAAATTATGTCATAAAATTTGAAAAAAGAAAAATTCAAAATTTGAAAAGTTCGTTTGTTAAACGAAAAACTCAAAGAAGGTCTTTATTATTTACTTTTAAGATGAGCAGTGAACAAATTATCATATCGGAATTTTTTGTAAAGGATTTTTCATTTTTATTTCAGCTACATAATTGTTATATTGTGAGAAAACATACGGAGTATTTCATAAAATTATGGCAAAAGTGCAAACAACCCCCCTGAACTATCACAAATCGGCATTTTACCTCCCTAGACTAGAAAAATGAACAAATCAGTACTACAACTATCCAAATCAGTACTCCCGAAGCTCAATTCCGGCCACTTTCCGGCCCACAAGTGCAGTCATTTTCTTTTAATTCCAAAATTACCCTTGAATACTCATTAATACTATTATTTATTGGGAAAATTACATATAAATGGAGTCAAAGTTCCATATTTACTTAGAGGCTGAGTCAAAGTTCCATATTTCTCTAAAATGGATTGCTGAGGTGGCACATGGTTTTTTACTGTTTAGAAATTGTGGTGCCTAAAATACCCTTCCGCGAAGGTACTACTTTTTCTTCGAAGGTGCTACTTTTTTGAACTGAAGGTACTACTTTTTGGTGTCCAGGTACCATATTTTTTAAACACCAGCGAAGGTACTACTTTTTCTTCGAAGGTACTACTTTTTTGAACTGAAGGTATTACTTTTTTGAACTGAAGGTACTACTTTTTTGTTAGGGAAGGGCATTTTAGGCACCACAATTTTCTAAACAGTAAAAAACCATGTGCCACCTCAGCAATCCATTTTAGAGAAATATGGAACTTTGACTCAGTCTCTAAGTAAATATGAAACTTTAACTCCATTTATATGTAATTTCCCCTTATTTATTTATTCATTTTCATTTTTAGAATGAAGTCGGCCGGAAGTGGTGATCTGTTCTTTTCATTTTCCGCAATTTCTCAACACCCAAACACTTTCTTCTACAATTCTTCCACTTTTTCGATCTCAGAATCAATTGTTCCATCTTCTTCAAGCTTATTTGTAAAACTAAAATGGCAGTTGATGCAACTCAGCCCAATTTGACCCGCTTTCAAAATTCACATACCACAAGAACCTCCATCAACACACCCTCCAGCAAGCCTTAGTCTCCTAGACCATCTGCTCCGATCTCTAATCCTTCCTCCAGCAACGTTGATCACAACAGCACCGGAAAATCCAGACGGCCAATTCTTGCCCGCCGGTACTGCACTATGAGTTCATCACAGCCGAACTCACCACCGAGAAGCTCACAGCCGAGTTCTCTTTACCCGCCGGTGCTGTGCCGCAAGGTCACAACCTACCTCTCCACAGCCCATTGTCGGCCCATGCCGCTATCGCCATTTTTCGTGCCGCATAAAACCGAAGCCAAACCAAGGTTGTGGTTGTTAGTGTAACCAAAGGCAGAGTCCAACAGTTGGGTGGTTCTTCAGAAATCAAAGATCGAATTTTGTCGTTGTCAAACTTCGCTACCCCATCGAAACCTTCAGATTTCCCTAAAAGCTCTGCAAGATTTCTAGGCTGCTGGTTTTTACCTATTTGAATCAAATAATCTGTATCATTTCTGATGATGTTCATAATATGTCGGGTCAGTCCCTCCTCACCATGAAAATGAAGAACAAAACCACCTAGATCTTGGTGTGTAGTGGGTTTCGATTCTAATACCGTGTTTCTGCAGTAGTGGAAACATGACAACAATGGGTATATATAGTAAGAAACTGGAGATGAGCAAAACTGATTTGCTAGCTGCGACAATTACAATCTGAACTCCAATATAGAAGTTCAGAATTCAGTTCTTCAAGTTGTGAACAAGCTTTTTGTATTTTTGGCCCCTGTAGCGTAAAGCCAAGGGGTTCTCTCTCCACCCTACCAGCCTTTTGATCCAATAATTCTTTATTTTCCACTCAGTTTGGCCTCTATTTACTGAGCACTTGAATTTTGTGGCAATAAACCATCTAGATACTGGCCCAATTGTACCTAGTACCATACCCAAATTATGTATAAAAAAAATGAACCAGATTGACCCTTATATATCTGAATTGAGAGGTGGTTTGTTGACATCGACAGGACGACTGTAAAAACAAGAAGGATAGAGAGAGAGAAAAAAAACCCATCTTGCTTTACAAATCGACACACACACACACATATATACAGAGAGAACAACAGAGATTGATCTCATAAATACAAGGAATTTCAAACAGCATTTAAAGAATATGATTAATTTACAGAAAATTGAAATTTTTAGAGAAAGAATACAATTGCATATACATGCATACATACCTTGGTGAAGATTTGGAGTTAATTTGGGTTTGGGAGAGAGACAAAATTAGACCCTAGAGTGAGAATGAGACAGAATAAGTAAATAAGAGCTTGAATTGGGGGCAGTTCTGGTAACCCAAAGTAGCAGAGGCCGAAGCTGTTGTTGCAAGAGATGACGCCATGGCTCAGATTTGAGAGAAAGAGAGGCAAATGCTTCTGTTTGTGTAATTTGTGTGTGTGCTTGTGAGTGTTTGAGTTTCAATAGAGAGTTTTTTAGAGAGAGAAAGTGAGATTTTTTAGGTGTTGCTGTAATCGACATGACCGGCGGGGCATGAGGGGGCATTGAGGATATTTCACGTTGATTATTTATTTTTATTTCTTCTTAATTACAATGGGTAGTTTTGTAAATCTATAATGAAGTCGGCCAGAAAGTGGCCGGAATTGAATTTCAAGGGTTAATTTGCACGATTTTGATAATTGTGGTATTAATTTGTTCATTTTTGTAATTCAGGGAAATAAAATATCAATTTGTGACAGTTAGGGAGAGTTTTTGCACTTTTGACTAAAATTATTTTCATAATTCCCACTGCGGTTCATTAAAAACAGAAGCCCCCACAATACGCAAACTTCTGCTTTCTCTTCTCTCTACGCGCTCTTTTAAACCCTTCATTTAAACCTCTCCCACCTTCTCTCTCTAAAAAAGCAAAAGAAGAGAGAGGAGAGTCGCAGATATAACAGAATAAGAAGCAGATCTGCGCGAAAACCCGAAGGCAGAGTACAGAACTCGTTGAAAAAAAAAATGGCGCAAAAGTCACTGATCTATGCATTTGTGGCTCGAGGAACTGTGATTCTGGCGGAATACACCGAATTCAGTGGCAATTTCAATTCCATAGCGTTTCAGTGCCTACAGAAACTTCCAACGTCGAACAACAAGTTCACTTATAACTGCGATGGCCACACCTTCAACTACCTCGTGGACAGCGGTTTCAGTGAGAGTTTTTTCCCCATTTTTCCTTCATTTTATTTTATTCTTTATCTGTGCGATTTAGATTCAATCATTTCCATTATCAGTAAGATTGCTGAAAAAGTTTGTGTCAAAAGAAAAATAAATTGATTTGTTTGAATTAAGCTGAGATAAAAAAAGATTATTTTGGTGCAACTCTATTTGGGTACAATTAGTTTTTTCCTTACTGACTTGCTTTAGTTTCAATGATTTGTGGTGTTCTTTTTCTGGCAACTGTTTTTTATTGTTGATAAAATGAAAAAGGAGCCAAATTGTTATATGGTTCGATTATGTTCGGTTTAGGATCATGTGCTGAAATGTTGGTTTGCTAGATGCCTGAATTTTGTGTCCTGTGTTTGCCTGAATGTCACATGCTTGCTCCTCATAAACAAATCTAGCATACAGTGGACAAGATGGACGTTTTCAGGCAGACAGTGGGAAAAAAAAAAAAAAGGAAGATAAAAAAGACGATTGAATTTTGAATATGAAAATGAATTGTGTAAATTAAGTGAAAATGGATAATTTATGGGGTGTAAATTAAGTAATAAAAATGCTTAAACTGACTTGTAGTGTTGTAGGGCATAATTTGTTGGGCATAAAAAGACATTTGAAATTCAAACTAATAATAAAGTTTCTATGTCAAATGTCAATAATGAAATCCCTATAAAATTAGCTTATGAAGTTTATGACACGCACAAACACATATTATAAGTCCTATAAAGTTTATGATAGATAAGTTTAAGTGTTTGATTTTAGTTTCCTCAACCTTTCATTCAAATTAGTATTTCATTAAGAAGATGTATATATATGAAGAAATGCACTATTTACAGATAGCAAAACAATTTCCTTCCAGTATATAGAAGGAAGATGATATGTGCCAAAAGTGGGTTAAAGGGTTTTTTTTTACCCCCCGTTCATTCTTTTACTTGCTTTTTAACCTTCATGCAGATCCAACATGGATAATCAGTTGCAGTTGTTATTGGGTTTCCAGATCTGCGCTATTTCTTTCGTTTCTACCTTAATTTCAATTTTTTGGTCATTCCAAATTTCTTTTTACAGGGTTTTGTCTCATAACAATGCTACTACATATTCTTGTCTACCGTGGTTGTAAATATTTCTTTTAATTTGTTTGCTTATTCAATGTTTTAAATAGAGGTAGACAAGAATTCCTTTTGCTTCTGTTTTTGCTTTTGTCTCCCTAATTAAGGGCTGAAAATAAATATTTAGAGAGAGAGGGAGAGAGAGTTGTTTGAGCTTTATAAGTGTAGATGAAGACTGAAAACGGTCTGAGAGAAACATAGTGAAGCTTAGAAGATTTCTAGTACCAGCAAGTGGTGCATCAGAAGGTAGTGGTTTTATCTGTCATGAGACGGCAAAAACCATGGTGTAGAAAGTGGCTAATTCCAAAATCGGAAAGGAAAGCACAACCAGTGTTGTTAAAGGCGTGCCCAGGCTCGTGCCTAGGCTCAAGGCTTAGAGTAACAACCCTCACCTTAGCTAGACACAATATTTTCCCTTTTGGCTCCCCCGCACCAGAGACTTCTCCAGGTTAAGCATACTTAACTATAGAGTTCTGGTGGGTATCACGGCTTTAAAACGCGTTGTGTCATATAAGGGTGTTGAATCTACATATAGTACTTACCCATTCCACACCAAGGCGATGTGAGATTGTGTACCTGTAGCTCGCCCAGTGTGGTAGCGTACTGGTGCCACCTGCACACGCTCACACACACCCGCCCACAAGGTCGCCACAATCACCCCCCCTTCGGGGCCCAACGTTCCCGTTGGCCACACTTCCGCATTGGCCCCAAAGGGGGGTGATTGTGATGACTTTGTGGGCGGGTGCAAGAGGCACTGGCAAGCTACCACACTGGGCGAGATACGGGTGTACGATCTCACGTCGTCTGGGTAAAGAAAAGGTGAAGTGCTTATATGTGGTGATATTATCTCCAATTGGTATTAGGCCTTTTGAGGTAAAACCCAATAGCAAAACCGTGCGGGCTCGGGCTCAGGCTCAAAGCGGACAATATCATACCATGTGGTGGAGTGGGTCGTTACACTCAGGTTTAGCGCCTGTTGTCATCCCAGGCTCACTGATGTTTACTAGGCGCGCGCCTTGGTTGCGCCTCGTCCTGTTTGTGAGGCGTGCCTAGGTGCACTTCACTGATATTTGTTTAAAAAAATATGATTGTTCTATTTCTTAAGCCAAAAAGGGTATATTTGGCAACTTAATAAACAAAAAAGAAAGCTCATGCATACAATAAAAGGAACTTTTGTTCAAAAGAATAAAAAAATAAGAAAGCCCAAAGTCAAAGTGTTAACCGAACAACGATAGAATGAGATTGTGAGACGAAGCCCTAGTTGCAGAGATGAATGACGAAGACACGTTAGTTCTTTCTTTCTTTTTTCTCTCTCTTCTCCTCTAGATCTCTCCTCTCTCTTCGTCTAGTTCTCTTCTCTCTCATGTTTTTATTTATTTATTTATTTTTTGTCTTGTTACCAAATTTTTTTTATTTTTTGTTAACATATTTATTTCTTTTTGTGCTTTGTTTTGCCATTCAAAAAAACACATTTTGCTTTGCCTTTACAGAAAACAAATTTGTGCTTTGTTTTATGGTTGTTTGATGCTTGCATAGTTGATAGATTTACTTTTTTATATTTGATATTAATTTTTAGAATATTGATATGACTTGTGAGATATGAATGTTATTATGGTAGTTTAAATTTTCAATTGTGCGCCTCACTTCACTCAGGCGCACACCTAGCCGTGCGCCTCGCGCCTAGGCTACAAAGGACCTCTAGCGCCTTGGGCCTTTAATAAAACTGATCACAACTGAGCGAGAGGATACTGGTTCTTCATTAATCTTTGGACTACAGAAGATGCATTTGTTCTTTCACATGTTAATTTTCATGTTGATGTAAAGGCGTGAAACAACATTTCCATTTGTAGCAATGGCGCCCCACGAAGGAAACTTGTATTTTTTCAAAAGGTTGGCTTCAATCGTATAATTGTGAAGTGTAATAGTGGCGGCTGAGAGTGAGAGTTCTTCATTAATCTTTTGACTACAGAGGACATATATGTCCTTTCACATGTTAGTTATCATATTGCTGCGAAGCAACATCTCCACTGGCAATGGTGCTCCACAGTAAAATATAGAAGGAAACTTTGTATTTGTCCAAAAGGTTGGCTTAAATCGTATAAATTGAAGTGCAGTGCTTTCGGCAACTCCAGAAATTACTTCTTGTGTTCGATCCTCTTTGTCTACATGCTTGTTGGTCACATATGCATGTCGAACACAACTATTTTTCCCATTTCAGATACAATGATTTTACTCATTTTGACCTGGGTGTGTTTGTGCAATGCAGATTTTGGTATCTTGGCAAGCACTTAACATCTAGGAAACCTGAATTCCTGTACATATGTAACTGTGTAGAGAATAAGCTGAAAGAGAAGATTATTAGTTTTAAAACTGATATAAAATTACTTTTTATTGGATGTTGCAGCATATTGTGTAGTTGCTGATGAATCGGCAGGAAGACAGGTTCCTATGGCTTTTCTGGAGCGTGTTAAGGATGACTTTTTGTCTAGATATGGAGGTGGAAAGGCTGCGACAGCTTCTGCTAATAGCCTTAACAAGGATTTTGGGTATCCTACTTTGACTAGAACCATGATAAGATATGGTGGGAAGAATTTACCTTATTATATTAGTTGATCATGGTATTCATCATTGCAGGTCGAAGTTAAAAGAGCATATGCAGTACTGTATTGATCATCCTGAAGAGATAAGCAAGCTTGCAAAGGTGAAGGCTCAGGTTTCTGAAGTGAAAGGTGTCATGATGGAAAATATTGAAAAGGTATTGAATTTTTGTTTTTGTTTGTTGCTTACTTTTCGATTTATTTAAACACATGCAATTCAATAACATATTCAACAACGTTGATGACCTAAAATTGCACAAGGGCTCGATAGGTCATGTTTTTCTTTTTCTAGTTATGATCCAAATAAAATATTGAATATTGTGGGAAGAGTGATTAATATATTCATTATTAGTTGACAAGAGGTGATGCATGGATGGTCAATTGTCTTCTTGTGATATGCAAGATAGTTGGTTAATGTCAAATAACAGTTTACCGGCCTCAGGTTCCTGTAGTAGTTATATGCTGGGGATTTTGAAATATCAATCCTTGCTTTATTTTTAATCTGAAGCTAAACTGCTTGAAAACTCTTTCAATTAAAATTGTGAACAGGAAAGAAAATGTGTTAGTTTTAAAATACTAAATCTTTGATGGAAACCAAATTTTTCATTGTCTACAAAGTCCATGCTTATAGCATATTGTCATGCCCCACCAAAGGAGGTTGCGCCACGTAGGCGACATTGAGGAGGATTCTACATGGCGTCTAATTGGCAAGTGTAGAGAATTAGGCTCTAGAGTCTTTAAGAGTTGTGTGGAGAGTTGGAGGATTCTAGAATATTATAGCAGTGCGTAGAGTAGAGAATGTTCTAGAGGAGTAGAGAGTAGTGTAGGGTAGGAGCTTCATGTGTAAATCATCAAGTTCTAGAGTGGAAAAACTCTAGGCCTGTGACAGGTCATAATTGAGGTAGCAATGCCTTTTCACCTCAAGGAAACCCACATTTGCCCTCTGGATTATCTCAAGATCTAAGCCATGTATGTCTTTAGGATCATTGTTATGAATTAACAAGAGAAGCACTTCATTTGCAGAAATCTGTGTTACATATAATTTTTTTTGGTACTTATTATATCTCAATGACCTCCATGAATGGAGTGTGAACTAGGTTGTTCTGCACAAATATAATCAGAGATGGTCTTTGGTTGTTTCTTTCCACTTCATTGAGGTGAAGTGAAAGCCTCAAGTGGCATAAATTTGAAATTTTATTGAAGTAAACTGTAAAAGTCAGAAGTCAAATGCACAAGAATACAAAATAATAAGAATATAATTAGGATGTAACTGAAAATGTTCTCCCAATTACCATGCAACCTATATCTTGGTAGCAATTTCAAAGGAAAATTTAAAATAAAGATGTTATTGTTGAACTTGACTCTGATTAACATGTTTATAAAAAATTTCTCGGGTTAACTTAATTTTTACAGAGAATGAACTAATGCCACTCTCCAGGGATATTTTTTTGAGAATAGATAGAAAATTTCAATTATTGGGATTAAATTTATACAAATTCAAATTGAGATAAAATGTATACAAATTCAATTATAAATTTATAAGAGAGTCATGCAATTGAAAGAAAAAAGTTTTTGGGAAAAAAACAACTTTTATTTATTTATTTAATTTTTTTTTTTTATAATTAATGTTACTCTAGGTTGACATTTCTTGGACACTACTGGATGTGTCTATAGGCCTTGGACAACAGTGTATTTGTACCAAAACATGACCATCTTAGAAAAGTATTGCTCTACTTTGGCAAAGGCGTTTTTTATTCCATTCGACTAGTAGTTAAACTCGTAAATTTGTCTAAATTGGTACGGAGTTGGAACTCCTAAATGCAAATAGCGGTGTTAAGGAGAGAGGTTTTATTATAAGAATTGATCGACATGCCACTTACCTCTGTTATGGTAACACTAACATCTATTGTGATGTGGGTTTCAATCACCTCCCCTCACCCACATTGGCATATCTGGGCCATATGCAACTATTTTGGAGAATTACCATGTCGATTTGTTTGTATCATTCCAATAAGTGTTAAGGACATAGTCTTTCCAATAGTTATGGAATCTCATTTCTCTTATTTTACCTTATCTAGGAAAAATGGTTTTTCTCTTTATTGTCCCAAATCCCTGTCTTATTCATCTTTTCCTTATCCTCTTTGTATGTTTGGCATTAAGCTTTCTGATCCTCTCTGTTATTTGGTCCCTTGTTGCATGTGACTGAGCTATCTTAATCTACTGCTTTATAATCCCTGTTTATATGTCATTTATTAGATCATTTCTTGTTCTAATCTTTTTTGATGTTCATTGTCGTCAACATCCTATTCGATTTATAAATTGCTGCGAACTGATTGCCCACCATACTATACTTCGAAGTATGGATGATCTTCAAGTGTATTAAATCTGTCAATCCAGTTTAGTTATCTTAAAGTGAAAAGGGAAGCGTTTGATGCTGACCTTCGGTGTATTATATAAAAACGCTCTTTCCATTTGTCCAATTATGAAATACTTATAGTTGCACAAAATGTCTTTAGTGATGTTAATGTAATCCATTTTGTATTCCTATCTTCTTTGATATTTAGCTCATCAGTTATGCAATTGCCCATTTATGGGGGTTATCATTTTATTTTTTACCTTAAGTATGAAGATTGCATCTTGGATTGATGCCTTTCTATAAAGTTGAAATTATTTCCTAAAGCTTCCTTTGTATATTTAGCTATATTTTTAGCTCCTACATTTCTTATTTAATAGCGAATATATGTGGCCGACCTCCTTCATAAGGGATCAAGGCAAGGAAGACGACGATGATGATGACATTTCTTATTTATTTCTTTAGATTTGTTTTTCTTGTGTTCCTTATTAAAATCAGTAAGTTTCATACTTAAGTACTGGTTAAATTATTAAAAATCTTGTTTCTCATAAATTAATATACACCATTTTTTTCCCTTGGTTTTAAATTGCGGAATCAATAAGTTTGTTAACTCTTAAAATCTCCATCATTGTTTTACATATGTGATTGTATATCAATATGGATTTGAGAACATGGATCTGTTGTAGCAGCTTGTCTTTTTACTCATGGAATGACCTTTTCTCAATTTTTTATTGGTGATTTTGTTGATGTGTCCATAGAAAGAAACCGACTTTTACATTCAAATCTATGTAAAGCATGAGAGGTTTATCTCTTTACTCAGAGGGAAACTAGGGGAAAAACATACAATAATATTTCATGCGTTCTTGGCTCATCGTAACTTGTCTTGCAGAAAAAGGCTCTCTTGTAGAAGATTATGGAATTTCTGTAGCTTGAATACTGATGCTCACCTTGTTTTGCTACATAGGTTTTAGATCGTGGAGAAAAGATAGAGCTGCTAGTAGACAAGACTGAAAACCTTCATCATCAGGTCTCTCTCTCTCTGTGAAGAGTTTTGTTACAAAAGCGCCTCTTAACTTCGCATAGCTTCGTATCACTTGAATTAACTAAACTTTAGTCATTGAGTTTATTTATTTTTTTATTCTCTCTCTCTGTCTCTCTCTCTCTACATGTCTCTGAAATTTGTACTTACAGTGAGCTCTAATGAGCCTAGACTGCCTCCAAAATGACTACAATTGAAATGTGATTTTGGGAGCACTGAGGCCTTGAAATTGGAATCGGAGGAAATTCAGTTCAACTAAATTATTTCCTCCAATATTAATCCCAATGCGCCAATTTGGTGCTCCCAAACGCAGCGATATTTTATTCCTGAAGTGACAGTGATTGAATTTCAAACTAAGTTGGGTTCAGTGATTGAATTTCAACCCAAAAGCTTGGGTCTCTACCTAATTTAATCTGCAATAATTGGAAAAAGAAAAGAGAGTATATTATAGAGAAGAGAAAAAAGGTATACCACTGCCATATCATTGTTAATATGAGATCTGTAAAGAATCTTTGACAACTTTTATTCACGGAGTCCTTTAGAAATAATGTATACATGTATATTTTGGTCTGAACAGGCACAGGACTTCCGGAATACAGGAACAAAAATTCGGAGGAAAATGTGGCTGCAAAACATGAAAATCAAGCTGATTGTTTTGGGTATTCTGATTGCCTTGATCCTCCTCATAGTCCTCTCTGTTTGCCATGGGTTCAACTGTGGAAAGTGAGCATATCTTTCTCTGTGAAGAGCATAGTATACTGTAAGAAGCTGAGCTCATTGTTAAAGCCTTTGAGTTCGAATGATTTATGTATGTAGCAGAAAGTCAGCTAATTCCATATTACTAGTTTGCACATGATGGGAACCGTAAATTTGTTATATTTTATGAGAATGTGTAAAAGATAAAGTTGATAGTCTTTTCCTTCAGGCTAGGATTGAAGATTCAGGTACATGATGGTAAATATTTCAAATCTTCCTTTCCTCCCTGCTAGTATGGTATTCGCTTCAAATCCACAACGTTGGTGAAAGAAATCAAACCACACTTTGTGAAATGCTAGATTCTAAGTGTTTTTAATTTTTGAACTATCTATTCCATATTCCTAATTTCACCAAATCTGGTGTGCTGTGGTCAGCAATTGAGCCATATTGATGTAGTGGTAGAGTACTGAACAATTTTCCTCTTTTGAACTGAACATGAAAATGGGTCCAACGAAGAGCCAAAAGTACTTGGATTCAACCCCCCATATAAGCCAAAAGCCATATGCATTACAAGATGCGATATAATACAAAACCATACGGTGGTATATAGGAGGACACTTGAGGGATTGTAAACATAAAATTTGTGTTGTAGAAGCATAAAGCAGACTCGATCACACAACCTCTGTCAAACAAACATTATGGCGGTACCATTGAGCCACAATTCCACGCCGCCAACCTCATACAACTATTAAACTACATATCTATATTGTGGGTGGATTCAAGTTTCAGTCCTCTTGCCATCCAGAAACAATTGCGCAATTCTCCCGCTAAAATTCACCCTCTGGAAAAACTAGAAAAAATACAGAGTAACAATAATAAAAGGAATAACTTGATGATGATGATACATATATCAATCATTATTATCTTGGTTTCTTGACGAGTCTCTTGTCATCTTCATCGCTCCTATTTTCGCATGAAATTCTCTTCCCTCCTCTACACACCCCATTCCTCAAATCCACACCAAACCCTTCCCCTCTTCTCACCACATTCCCACTCACCCCCACTCCCATCCTGAATCGCACCCTCACCCGCTTCGCCGGCAATTCCATCTTCTTCTTCTTCTTCTTCCTCCTCTTATAACTCTCTCTCTCCGCCTCCATTTTCTCACCAACCAAACAACCATTCACATTCCCGAACGAACCAAACCAACCTCTCTCTTCTCTCCAATTCCCCTTTCCACCAATTTCATATTCACTCATATCCGGAACAGCCGGCAACCACCTCGGAATGTGCGAATTTACACAATCCCAACGCTTACAATTAATTGAATTTTGGGGTTTGAACGAGTAACGCCAACGAACTGGCTTCGCGAACGGAATTTCATCGGTGTACTTGACGAATTTGATGATATCAGCGAGGGTGGACGAAGTTAAGAGTGTTCCGTTCACAGTTGATGCGCCACGAAAGCCTTGAACAGAGTAGAGTTCTTCGAGGGCGCAAACGACGTCAAAGAGGTTGGATTGAGTCCGGCCGGAGGAAATCGCGAAGGAGGCGGCGGACTTGCCCAGGGCTTGGAGGTACCTGGCGGCGACATCCGTGAGGGTGTGAAGGGCCGACCGTTGGGAGGCTTTGAAGCCCACCGACTGACAGATCTGCGACACTGCGATTCGTGTGATCGCCATTGAGAACTCCGATGGACTTGATTCGTGATCTTGAATTTCTAGGGTTTTTGATTTCATGGTGATTTCTACAACGGATTTGGACGACGAGAAGAGAAATTTGCAGAGAGGGTTTTATCAAACCCTAATGAGAGTACAGGTGTTTGGAGAATTCAATATTCAAAAGTTTTGGATCGGGTTGTCATGTAAATGTATGGGCTAAATCTTAATCACCACCCAATTGTATTCGGATGTATTAGCCCGTGGCAAAGCCCTTTTTTTTAAAAAAAACAAAAAAATTTCCTTTAGTTTTCGTTCTATTTGGACCATCCGTTTGTCAGTCAGCGGGCTAATGGGGTGCACACAAGCCCAACATAAAATTTTGGTTCATCTTTGATTGCAAGTCCTCTAACTTCACCACCCACATGTGCCATAACTGAATCAAGAGTCTTTAAAACAGATGATCAAAATATTAAAAAAAATCTGTTTTGTTGACTCGGTTAAAAAAAAAAAAAAAAAAAAAAAAAAAAAAAAAAAAAAAAAAAAATGGAAAAGTTATCTTTTATAGTTTTGATTTATTAATAGGTCACTCTTTTTAGAAAACTGAATATAACTTCTTTATTTTCTTTTTCTTTTTCGTTTTTGACTTCTTCTCATGTGCCTTAATGTCATTTGCGAAAAGCAGTTACTGTTTGTAAACCCTTGTCAAAAAGAGACTGCTTCGTTTTTCATGGTTGTCAAATAAAAAGACAAGTGCAAATTACCTACCCAACTATTATTTTTCTCACTCAAAATAGGTGTGTGTATATATGTGTGCTGTTGTTTTCATAGATATTCTTTTTTTGGGATAACATGCAAATAGTTAGTTTTAACTTAGAAGAAACCAAAGTGGTCGGTATCTACAGGACCACATCGTGAGGAAGACTTGAGTGTAAATGTGATTTGGCTCTCCAATGGCACATCATACTTTGGCTTAAACAGATGACTACCCACCACACATGTACTCTACATATACTTAAACAGATGACTACCCACCACACATGTGCTCTTTCTCTCTCTCTATATATATATATATATGCAATTTTGTCAATTGTCATTCAACCAGCAGCCTCTCTGATTGATAAACTTCTTTATTGCAGAAATGACGGGTCCAATCTAAATCACTTTGGTTCTTTTAAGTCTTTGATTCATACAATGAAATTAACTTTCACTAATTGATTGATCTACTAAGCGCCTGATGCATTTTTGGATTATGTGGAAACTATATATATATATATATGCGATATGATAGAATTTTCTTGAGTACAACTTTTCGGCTGTAGCTTGCCACATGTTGGAAAGTAAGAGAAATCCACGAAAATTAAGAAGGAAACAATATATATAATTGTCTTTCATTGGGTACGTGTTGTGGGACATAGCTAGAGATGTATCTATATCTATATTACAAATTTGCAATTCAAAAGCAAGAAAAATAGTTCAAGTTTAAATTGGTTATTGCTTAATGTCTATATACATTTCCAAAGGTGCCTTTTTGTTGGTTTAATTTCTATTGCGAAAAGCAAAAGCTACTCCCCACCATAAAATTGCCACGTGGATGATTGAGCTTTCAATTAAACTTTATCATCTTTCCAATAATTGGAAATTAATTCAATTATATATGTTATTTCAATTGAGAAATGAATGCTACTTGTGCATTAAAGGTCTGTTTCTGCATAATTGATTGGGTTGTTTGTTACGTACCTTGTTCAATTACACACTTTTTTTTTTTTTTTTTTTATGTCAATTAAATTAGGCGTGTTTTGAAAGCAAGTTTATGTAGGGCTAGCTTCATGGTTTCATTTGCTTCTCAATCATACACGTCACAATTTTGGTCACCTTATATGTACATGTATACATATATAAAAGGGCATTTCATGCCATATTAATTAATTAATTAATTAATTAATATGATTTTAGTTAAATGAGCTTTGTTAAGTGATAATTAATTAGATGCATATATCACCTGTGACGTGGCATGGTGGACGGTATTAATCAAATTGGTGCTAGCTTAGCTGATGGCTTTTATTTAATTAAGTTATCATGCATTTTTTTCTTTGTCAAAACCATCCGTTAGGTATTGGGTTCAACAAATCCCCTGTGACTGCACCATGAGGTCTTGTTGATAAAGAGATGTTAGGTTGTTATAATTATAAGAAGAGTATGCATATGCATTGGATAGGAGGAGACTATGACCATTTTATATATATATATATGTGTGTGTGTGTGTTAGTGTGTGTTACTACGTACTATTAAATGCCAAAACGTACATGATGGCAAATTCCATGACGTACGTACATTCAACTTCCTTTATATTGCTAATCAAAACATAATTAAAATGAACCTTAAATATATATATTTATATACACACCCACACATATTGAGACAATTTGCGTGTGTGAACAAAACCTTTGTGAATTATATTCCAGGAAAGCGACCTCTATTTTTCAGACAAAATTAGTTAATTTCAAGAAGTGGAAAGATTGAATTTTTCCAAAAAATTTCAATTGAAAAAGACAGGCATATAGATATATATATTGACTAAAGCCCCAAAGAAGTGCTCACCATTAAATCTGAAATAAAAAACCAACATGCATTTCACATCATTATATAACATAAAGTTGAAGTTGTCCCCCACAATGGTTCATCTAATGAAATTAGCTGAAGTAATTGACTAATGGCTAATACAGTAGTAGCTAGCTAGCCCCTACATTATATTATATAAATTATTCTTAAAATTTGGCTGGCTATATATATATATATATATATATATATCGTGTTTGTCCAGCAGCCTCCAAAAGAGAAATTCCAAAAGAAATCAAGACAGGTCCAATCGCTATCAGTTCGGTGTGTCCATTTAGCTAGCGTTGTATGCATCATCCATTATATATAACTTTGAATTGTTTGTCAATTTTGTGAATATATTTGGTGTGAAGTTTGGAGCACAACTCTTTGGCTTTATATACCTACTTGTCAAAATCCATAATTCATTTCATTTATAGGGAATTTTCAATGGCGTCTTCTACTTCCTTTTGTGTTTAGTTAAAAAGAAATTAATTAAAATACCAATATTAATTTCATCTAACTTGGACAAGTTGATTAGGATGCATCTGGAACCTCATGCTTCAATTATACATGGATTGATATATATATATATATATATATATATATATATAGTTACCTAAGCTTTCACACTTTAATTTCTAGACTATACGTCTCTGGCCGTTGCTCATAAGTTAGAATTAAACATTCTAAACAACTTTACACAATTACTGATTACAAAACGGTCTTCACTATTTTTTAAGAAAAACATATATATATATATATATATATAAAGGAGATTGAATTTTAGACACACAAACGTACACACAATTGATTTCTCTACTTTCTCTCTTCTTTTTTGGCAACGAAAAATTGGCATCTTCATTTTTTTTCTTCCCGGAATTTGAACCAATTGATCTATAAATACAGCTAGGAATATAAATATCTTTACTTTTCATTAAAACATATATCTATTAGCAATCGAGAGACAACTTAGGCAAGGTCATGCTTCAAAGAATAGGAAACAGAAAAGTGACCTCTAGCTTGGTGCAGAACAAGTCAATGAATTGATATCACCATTTGAGATTATTAATTAGGGTACGATCATTAATGAACATTAATTATAAATAAAACTGATCACTGAATGAGGCCAGCTTGCATATGTATATATTCATGCATGCAATATAATGGTGTCAATTCATTTGATATATCTCCATTAGTGACTAACCTAATTTTGTTTAATTGTTAGTGTATATGTTTTTGTTATGAATTTGGTCAATAATCACAACTTGAGCACTTATACTAGCTAATTTTTTGGTTTTGAGGACCCAACATACACTTTTGCTTTTGTTAGAAAAGCAAGAGCACTTTATGATCACTAACTTCAAATTAACTCTCATTTGGATACCCACTTTTAAAAGTTTTCCAAACTCTTGTACTCGAGTCTTTTTGTGTTTCATGGTAGGCTTACAATGATATGATATGATATATATATACATATGCCCACTATAGATATATATTAAATAATTTTATTGATAATATTATTCTTATGCCCACTATAGATATATATTAAATAATTTTATTGATAATATTATTCTTGAACATGCGAAGATGCGCACCGTATAGCCTCCTCACTTTTGGTAGGTCTTTGCGCATTTGAGAACTTTTTTAGTCAGCATATATATAGTACTGTCTCTTCAGTGATAATTATATATAGATATATACAGCACATAAAAGCAACACGTGGAAAAAGGTTACATAAAGGAAGTAAGTAAGCCCTTTTCTTTCAATGGGAAATGGGATTTCTTGGAATTTGATTCGAACCTACTGGGAAGTCTCTTATGTCATGTCTAAAGTCTCTTGTGACCTTCCTATGACTTTAGTGTTCGTTTTTATTTTTATCCAAATTTCTCATAACACAGTTCTAACATTTCATAATTGATATATATATATATATATATATATATATATATAAAGATATTTAGGTTGTCATTATCATGGCATACAGTATTTGTGTGTGCGATGTAAATCACAGAGTGGTTCTAACAAACTCTTATATATTAAAATTGAGGGATGGAGGTGGCCGTTAATTTCTTAATTCACCTTTATGGTTATTTTATAGAGAAGTCTCAGTATACAACTTGAATATAAGTTTGTATATATCTATAAACAAACTTCTCCATGCAGTTCTCCAGCTAAATGAAAACATATATATATATATATATATATATATATATATATGGGTTAATTAATATGATGATGATGCATTATCGAGTAAAAGATACCAAACATATATTGTTGGAGCAAGCAAATTTCATTTAATTTCTTTAATTTGCCTAACACGTGGTGGTTTCCACAATATTGGTCCTTATTGGAGCAAGTTTCACTTTCTCGAGGAACAAACAGGGCTTAATTTCCCGTTATAATGATACATCAACAAAAGGAGTCATTTAAAAAATTGGACACATCTTAAAATTGAACGTACACTTGGAATTATATATATATATATATATATGCAGCCGTGCCTGCCATGTGCAACGTACTGATAGTTGCCACTTGCAAGTTAATATAACCAAAATGTGTGTTTCCTTAATTAATTATTGATGCCCTTTGGAGATATTGTCATTATAGACATGACAAAAGGTACCACATTCTTGGCTCTAGATTTATTAATTTTAATATATATAATCAATCAATGTACTACTTATTTCATGATTTCTGGGGGTCCAACTTGTTTAACACATTAATGTGATATAATTATATATATGTGATGGCGGTGCAATTTACAGTAATTTATAATATTTTGAATTTTAATCATCTCCATCATTTTGTCTTGATTTATGCTTTCTTTTGTTGATGAGTCTATTCGATTTGGTATTCTTTTAGTTGGGTGATTAAGGATTGAAGAATATATATATATAGTTAGTTAGTTGTGATGAAAGCAACTAATTAAGAGAGAGAGAGAGAGAGAGAGAGGGGGGAAGAGATAGAGAGAGAAAGAGGGGACGGTGGATATGGGAATCCAATCTGCATGCTCCCATCAGTTGTTTTATATATAAACTCCATTAGGGTTTGGTGGTAACTCCTTTTCATTATGTTAATGTTTGAGGAGTTTATCTTTTATGTTATTTTATTTATTTATTTATTTATTTATATATATATATCTATATATTTGCGAACATAATGGGATGACTCCTTCATTTGACTGAATCTGGTCAATACTTCATTTGAATGGCTTTAGTGCTTGCCTGCAAAATCCACATAGGGTTTGGTGGTGGCTAGGACTATATTATTTCATATTCCCATGTTTTTTTCTTAGGTACCTAATTTCAAATTTCAGATGTCAAAAGCATGAATTTTTCGTTTAAGCAAGCAAAATTGGTTCTTTGTACCAAATCATATATATATGTATTATTACTAGTTGAATTAATTTAGGTTAGAATTTTGAGTGATGTTAGAATATTATAGTGCAACAAACATTTGGAAGTGGATTACACATGTAATTCATTAACATCTCACGTTTTTAACTACCTTGCTCCATTTCTAATTTCAGCCAATCACCCAAGGATATTATGTACTAGTTCCACGTTTCAAATATTCCTCTACTTTTCGGGTTCATTTTTCACACTCCAATTCCTTTTGACAATTATGATTATTGATTTTGGAGAGACACTATATCTATATATATTTTTATTATATATTACTAGTTCATAAATTTTATTTTATTTTTGTAACAAGAAACCGGCGCACCTAAATTTTAGAATAAACTTATATTATAATAATAATTAGTATTTTTTCTGTCCTTCTTTTTTTTTTTTTTTTTTTTTTTTCCTTAGAGCACGTGTATCAGTCTCACAACACACGCATCATTCAAGTTAGAAGTACAATTTGAAAGCGAAATCTTAAGGACTTGCTTCTGCAATCTCTACCAACACCGTTATACCTCTGGAGGCTTAATTATCCATTTTTGAGAGTCTAATTTTTTATTATTTTTTTAGTGAATTAGTATTGAATGAATTACCAAATTTATTCTTAGTGGATCTACAGTGATGTGATAGTTTACTTTACAATAAAGTTAAATTGATAATATTATTAAAAAAACTTCAAAAAAAAAAAATTATTCACAATCAATTTCGGACACTTATGTCCAATTGGTTGGTCCATTAATTTGAATCAGAAAAATAGGAATGCAAACATGTGAATATGTGATAGCCTATTTGCATATTTTTTAATTCCTTTAATCATGAGATATGATACTATTAGTAATATATACGTAAGTCAAAAAAAAAATTAAATCATTGAAATTTCCTTAATCAAGGAATACATGAAGTGTACACGGTTTATCATTCCATTTAAATTAGTTAATTTTTATGACCACTCAATCAATAGATACGATTTTCTGGTGATATAATAAAAATGATACATATATATATATGTATGATATATTAATATAATCATGATCATTGTTGTAATGAACCAATTTATGAAGAATAGTTGTCATTGAGCCATACATAATAAATTGGTGGTGTGAATGGCAAACTTATTTACTAAAACAAAACAAAAGGTGAATGATAGAGAGATCTTACACCAGCTGTTAATTTCCGGTGTTTAAATTTTCAGTTTTTTTTTTTTTTTTTTTTTAACTTTACCAAAACAAAAGAAAAGAAATCACCAAATTTGTTGAAAATGAATGGCAATGATGTTAAGAGGCATATTGAAATATGGTGTACCGCACCATAGTGGAGTACTTACTCATCTTAGTTGTCCGTACACAGACACCAGTTAAGGAAGGGGACAAGGTAGAGGTAGCGGAAACAGGGAAACCGCAAATAAACAGACGTGGGTCCCCCATTGTGCCCTTAAAATAGTAGGTCCCACAGTCGTGGCAGCAGCGTTACAAAATTGTCCAGATCTGGACGCCTCACACGTGAGAAATGCGGGCCCCCCACTACACGATGTTTGAGAATCAAATGCTCATTGTACTGTAGCGTCTGCTTACATGGCAGCCGTTGCAGTAAGGTGAAACGTGGCAGATTTGTGGCTGTTAGTTACTAAAACCAACATCACAGCCACGTAATACACGTAATCTGCGTGTTCTCTCACATTTTGACATTTAGTAAGGTGAGTTCCCGTAACAGCCCCTACACATTTGGTTGTTTTACGAAAAAAATCCACATAAAGAAGTTAAGAGAGTGGAGGGTCGTCTTTAGTGCGTGGATTTAAAAATTGACAAAAATATTAAAAGCAAATCCAACACGATTTGGTTCCATTTATGAATACAAATCAGCCACCCCCGTTTTACTAATTTTGAAGCGCGGATTATATAATATGAACTTTCTTGGCTCTAGAATTAGCAATGCCACTATTCTCTCTCTCTAGAAAATTTTGACTCTCTCTCTCTCTCTCTCTCTAGACTCTTATCTATCTTAAATAAAGCAAAGAAAACGCAGCAACTCCCCCACTTTCATTGCATGCTCTGCTCATCTCCTCCTTGCTGTCCATCCTCTTCTCTCTCACTACACAAATTGTTATCCATCTATCAACAAAGCAACCCAAAATCACAAAGAATTAAGCAAGAAAAAACATCTCTCATGGCCGTTGAAGCACGACATCTCAACCTCTTTCCCCCTCAACTCACCACAAACAGGTTTGTTTTGATTTTATACTTCTATATATGTATCACTCTCTATCTATATATATGTTATTGATTTCTGTTTCTCTCTATTTTTTCTCATATGGATTATTTATTTATTTATTTGCAGAGATTTTATCAAAACATGTGAGGCAAACACAAATATATATAATACTCAGATTGGTTCTGAAATTCCTTTCAACGGAACAATGCCAGAAACAATCTTGCCGGCTTTCCATCAATATTCTCTGGTCTGTGATACAGTTCCGGCAAAAACGTCGATGAAGGCCGATAGTGGACTCACCTACAATCTTCCTCCTCCAAGGAAGCGTTCCAGAGATTCAATGAACCAGTTCAACACTTTCCTAGTCCCTCAGAAGACCAACCTCTCCGACTTCTCATCCTCTATTGGTGAAAACATCCCATTGCAGATCATGCAACAGCAATTCGAGATCGACCACATCATCTCCGAACATGTATGAAATTCTTCACTCTTACCAATCATCTGTACCATAAATAATTTATTATTTATTTATATTAGTTGATTAGTATATATTTGCTTCTTATTTTCTATTCTGTTCTTTTTTTTTTGTGATTCAACAGACTAAGAAAATCAGATTGGAAGTTGAAGAGAGACAAAAGCAGCACGCGAGATTGTTGGTATCGGCAATAGGAGAAGGAATGATGAAGAAGTTGAAGGAAAAAGACGAACTGATTCAGAAAATGGGCAAATTGAATTGGGTTCTTCAAGAAAGAGTAAAGAGTCTATACATGGAGAACCACTTATGGAGGGATTTGGCATTAACCAATGAAGCCACAGCCAATTCTCTGCGTACCAATTTAGAACAGGTCCTGGCGCACGTTAGCGACGAGCCTCTGCCCGCCGGCGGACGCATTGGAGCTGTTGCGGATGACGCTGAGTCATGCTGTGATAGCAGTGATTACGGGAGGATTAATGAGGAGGAGGAAAGGCCGCGCGTGTTGGCGGAAGAGGGAGGAGATTCATCAATGGGTGTGAAAGGTAAGGAGGAGGAGGAGGTGGTGGTTGGTGGTGGTGGTAAGTGCTGGGACAGGATGTGCAAGAATTGTGGGGAGAGAGAATCGCGAGTGCTGTTGCTGCCATGCAGGCATCTGTGCCTCTGTACACTTTGTGGGTCCACTCTCCTCCAGACTTGCCCTGTATGTAACTCTGATTTGAATGCAAGTCTCCATGTTAACATGTCATGAATGTGAAAAGAAATTTAGGAGGAGAGAGAAAAAGAAAAAAAGAAAAAAAGAGAGAGTGTTAGAGAAAGCCAAACAGAGCCTTTAAAAATAGAGAAATCAGATTAGTTAGTGTAAATACGTTCAATATATGAATTGTTTATTCTTTTTTATGATGGTGTTTTTTTCTTTTCAAATGGCCTTGTATTTCTATTCGTCTTTTAACATTGCAAAGCCTGCAATTTGTTTTGTGATGAGTGAAGTAGAATTGCCCTGGAAAGGCTCGATGTGAAGTTTGGTTCAACTTTTTTTCCACTTTTATATATATATATATATATATATATTTGCCACCCATTTTCTTTCAAACCCATTCAAGGTTAGTCTCCAATGAGAGACTGATGTTGATAAACAAGTTATAATTTTTGATATTCCGTGCAAAGAATCGACCCTACTTTTCAAAGGTCATAATGAATAACTGTAGAGGCAGGGACAGGGACAAGACATATTGGGTATGGATACGACTCAACTCAATTGAGTTGTAATGGCCTGGTAGAAACGATAGTAAGAGTTGGTTGTTAATTACCGAGTCTCCAATATTTTGTTTGTATAGTCATATCCGTCGTGTGGGTTACTTGCAATGAATGTGAAGCCAAAATAGTCAACCAACACAACATTTCAAAGATGTATGGCCTCTTATGATTATTAATACTATTGGGCCGGTACTACTCACATCACAATGGGTGGGTGTTACTAACTTAATTGTATGTTGGTTGAGATGTCAAGTTGCTAACAATTAACATTTATCTATTTTTTCATATTTGTAACCCCCTCAAACTCATCATCAAACAAACAAAAGCCCCAATCCTCCTAAATTTATGCACTACTTATATATCAATTGAATAGTGTAATGTGAAATAATTTCCTACTACTATTATAAAAACTAAAAACCACTTAATACTCTCCTAATTACTAGCTACTACTAATTAATTAGGTTTACGTACTGTTGAAGAAGTGGAATAAAGGGCATGGGGGGTTGAGTTGGTGGTAGTTTGAGTGAATCTTTGATAAAGAGGCATTCTATTGGGGGCACCAACAGACAAAGAGGACAGTGGAAAAAATGTAACATATTCACACATTCCCTTTTAACATATATATATATATATATATATAAAGCATCTCCGTGTGGCCTTCTTTTACTTTTCCGTATGTGTTGAGTCTTCAATTATGATGGCTCTTAGTGAATTGCGATGATGCCCAAATTCCAGAGCCCTCTTCCAAGAAAAACACCCTCCCCTTTTTTTTGTCGTTTTTAAAAACCATTCATGTGTTTCCCATTTTCCAAAATGATAATGCCCATACTTCTTTCTTCAATTTACTGAACACCGCTTTTCCTAGAATCCTCCTCTGTTAATACCCTGTCGGTGTGAAACAAGGGGTAAAGTGGGTATGAGCCCGGCATGCACGTTATTATGAAGGAAATATCATTCGGGAATCATTCTACTTTCTTTGTTTCATCATTTCTATCCAACCTCTTTTTTTTTTTTTTAGGATGTTTTAAAATGGATGTCTCATTTTAAAATTAATTATATTATTTTTATAATTTTTTTAAACAAAATACTATTTTATCTTTTAATAAAAATATATTTAAAATTCATGTTTATTAATACAATAAAAAAGTATAAAAAATTAGCTACCTTAACGAGGTTGCATTTCCCAAATATTTCAAAAAATTTGGGGGTGAGGGAGTAATAATATGACATGCAAGACTCATTCAATATTTTTTAAAATATAGTACACTTTCGTTATTAGTAATAATTTATTTTTATTCTAGAGTTGGTGAATTTTATCGTCCTAAATGTTGAATTTTATTAGATATTATCCATTTGTTTAATTGATAAACCGTTCAGTTTCTTAAATGAGTGTATCCATTTTTGAATTCCCTTTTCTTAATTTGTTCAAAAAAACAAAATATAAAGAGATTGAATTTTACTATTACAATGTTGAATTTAACACGTAAAGAAATACAATATTAACCCCTCCCACTATTCTTCTTCTCTGTCGGTCCGCAAAGTTAAAGCACCATGTAGTACAGTACCATCATTATTGTTATTATTATTATTATTATCATTTTTGACAAATTTATTGTTATTAATTCAAGTTTTTTTTTTTTTTTTTTGAAAGGTTATTAATTCAAAGTCTTTGCTTGTGCAAGGTACAGTGAAGAAAGAGTGCATCACTATTTTACCCTAACAACTAGATGCCAAATACTTTTTAAAATTCAGAAAAACATAAAATTGTTTTTAAATCAGGTCTTTTATAATTCTTTCAATATAGGTTTGAGAACATTTATAAAATAAAAAAATAAATATCAGAAAAAATTAACCAAACAAATTTCAGTATTATTTTTAAATTCTCATTTGTTCAACCAAACAATTTTTCGTTCTTCAACCCACCCAAAGTTATAAGATGAAGAATGTTTTACAGGGAGAGAGAGAGAATATTTTTACTTGTTCCTGGTAAAATAACAGAGAATATATTTCAACTATATATAATAGTTAATTAGATATATATTGGTTTAATATATATATTTAAACATATGTATAATAATAGTTACGGAAAGAGTTGTGCTATTTGGCTCAAGAAATACAAGATCTACGTGGCAAGTAAAAGTGATTATTCAAAATTAAAATATAAGATGCCTTCCAAATCAAACACTCTCCAAAAATAAATGAACAAAAATAATTTTTAAAGATAGTAACAATTAAAAATTTAACAAAACAATAACTTTGAAAGAAACATTCAACAAAACAAAAACACGAACAAATCAATAAAATAAAAATCATTCTTCAATCATCAATTCTTGTTGATATTAAAAAATTTCAAATAAAATTTCTATTCTATATTTTGTAGAAATCAATTTCTTATAAAATCATTCCAGTACATTCAAGAGGTATGCAAACAAATCATGTGAAAAAGAAAAAAAAAATATGGAAAGCGTTTGTTTTTTTTATTACTTTAATTAGAGAAAAAAAAAATGGAAAGAATTGTGTATGACTTGGGATTTTAGGGGAAAAAACCATCTCCAGTTACTCTCTCATTTGATTGGTCTAGATGAGGGGTAAAAAAACTGATTTCTCGTAATTGAGTAAAATTCATATTTACCAAACTTGTAAGAGTATTTTCAAGTGTATGTTAAAACATATTTTTGTATAAAATATATACTGTCACGTATAATGTATAATGCATAATTTTTTTTTTAATCTCTCGCAGTCTGTTAAGATACACTACCACGTCACCAATGTGTATATTTCCTTTCTCTCCCTTCTTTCTCATTACACTAACAAATCAATCTTATATTAACTAAGTTTGTAAAAATTATGTGAAAATTATATAAGGTCCAAGGCGTCCTAATGGTTGGTAATTAAGGAATATATTTTTACACAAAAGTTATAAAATAACCACTAGAATTAAAAATAAAAAATTAAATTTTTTTTGTATAAATCTATCATGACACATTAGATTTATACAAAAAATATATATATATATATATACACACACACACATATGTATACAACGTATACATATATACCTACAACTTATGCATATATACCTACAACTTCCATATACAACGTATGTATTATTTAATAAATTGACTATTTTAAGATAGCCAAATTTTAAGTTTTAAAGATTTTAGAATAGCCTTATGTGAAAATCTTTGTATTTAAGTCCATTTTTATCGGGACAAGTCATTCATTATATTATTATTATTATTATTATTATTATTTTTTAAAGTAAATATAAAGTTCTCATTCAATAAATTGCCATTTAAATTGATAAAGTAAATTCATATTAACCTTTTTATCAAGTTAAGATGTAAAAATGACAAGTCTTTGTTAGTAGTTAATAATATCACCAATCGATAATCAACAAATTGAAATCAATCAACAAATTTCCGGGGGCGACAGAGTAGATTTTTTTATTTATTCTTTTGTAAAAATTACTATCCATTTGTAATTAAAATTAACATAAAATATCTGTGGAATTTATTTTAAAAATTACAGTAATACAGTATCGGTAAAAAAATATATTGTTTAATGAATAAAGAATAATATGTGGAGTGGCAGCGGAAATGAGACAGATTGTAACGGGTGGCTGGTCCCACCACGAGTGGAAAGACACTGGCATGCGCATCATAGCATGTCTCTCTGTGTCACCGGAAAGCATAAAACGATGAAACAAGGGGAAAATGGTGGAATATACAGCAAAGTTGAAAAGCCCAATCTAATTTTAAAAAAGAAAAATAAAATAAAAGTAAAGGAGAATTTGTAAAACCGAGAAAGACAACCCTTAAAAATGGCCGTGCAAAGCGTGAATGGCGTAAGTTAGTAAAGCATGTTTTGAGGCACCCACTGCTGGCTAAATGGGGTTTCGTGGCAAGTGATGGTCCTAAAATTAATTTCTTGGGAAAAAAGACAAACGGGAAAGTATTTCCACATTAACTGCCACTTAGGTCCCACCCAGATGGGATGGTGTCTGATATTGTGACGTGGGTATTTCTCTTTTAGACACGTAGTCGTTACGCCTCTGTTCCCCATTTCGTGTCTTGTCACCACCACTCGTCCCTAACTCAAACTCTAACCGACACACTCAAAATCCTAATATATATATTTTAAAAAATAATTTATGTGGTTAACATTTAGTAAGATATTTAGCGATTTTCGGTTTACAGGAAGTTATTTGATATTGAAAAAAAAAAAAAAAAAAAAAAAAAATCAATATTTACTAAAAATAATTTTTGAGAATAAGGTTGCACGACTACGGAGTAATTGAAAAAAGAAACTAAAAATAGAAAGATTCTTTCTTACCCAAAAGTACAAATATGAGACGTTCAACTACAGTAATATTGGAATTTTGATTGGGTCATTATCTCGTTATTATCATTTTTAAAAGTCTATAAATTCCTTAACAAGGTGTAACTTAGTAGGCTTTTAGATTAAAATTTAGGGTAATTTATGCAAACCTCCCTTATGATTTGCTTTAATTACAGAGAACATCTTTTATATTTCAAAAATTAC